CTGCTCCTCACAAGACTTGTTCTCTAGACCCTTTGCAAGCTTCGTTGCCCTTCTTTGGACACATTCCAGCACTTCTGTTTCCTTTTTGTAGTGAGGGGCCCAAAGCTGAACACAGTGCTCGAGGTGTGGCCTCACCAGAGCAGAGCACAGGGGGACGATCACCTCCCTGCTCCTGCTGGCTGCACCATTCCTGACACAAGCCAGGATGGCGCTGGCCTTCTTGGCCACTACTGGCTGTATCGCTCTGTGCCAAGTCCAGTGGTATGGAGAGCAGTAGATGCATGGCAGTGTTGTCCCAGCCCCTGGGACACCTCAGTCTGTTGCACTGGCTGAGAATCACTGGGCTGATAAGGTCTGAGAGACACTGCCCACGCTTCCCACCCGCTGTTGCCTCTCAGAGCTTTGCCTTGGGAAGGAGCAGCTCAGGGCCTCTAAGGCAGAATTAGCAGGCGCTGCTTACAGAAGGGTTCCCCATCTCCATATAAAGCAATTTTGAAGGGAAAATACTTTCCCAGAGATTTAAGAGACTGTAGTGGGTCTATATCCAGGCTTGCCAGAGCCTGAGTAGGTGAAAGTTGTCTAGCTTTTGCTTTGATTTTTGTCTGAGTTTTTCCAGTCTGTGTTTTATCTGGGGCTGCAACAAGGCAGTGCATCCCTTGGGATGGCTGGCTGGGATCCAGGCTGACACCCACACAAGCTTCGGCATGTAGTACACTTCTTGATATTTTTCTGGTCAGGACTTCATACACACACCCCCGAGTGCCACAGCCTACCCAGCGGTGCTTAGTGCTGGGCCTGTCCCTGTCTGTAGTTGACTAGCTGCAACCTCTTTGATAAAATCAAAGGGGTTGTTGCTTGTTAAAGTAAGATTCGTGTGTGCGTGCTTTAATGAAGCCTGGGTGCTTTAGTCTTAAAGAATGTGGATGTTTTGTTCAGAGGCAGAAGCATGCAGGGAGTGTCTCTGACTGGATTCCCTGCTGAGGCCCAGCCTGCCCGCACATGTGATCTCTGCTTTCTGACAGGATTGTTGGCACTTGCTGTGGAAGACCAAGTATAATTGAGAAGGCTGAATTGCACTGTGTTGAAAAGCGTGTGATTTTTAAGGTGTTCCTGTGATGGTGTGATTCCTGGGAGAACAATTTTTGAGGCCTCTGTGGAGGCCTCACAGCCTGTTCTGCATAAGCTCGGAGCAGCCTCTCGCGATGTGGGGCAGGGTGGTTTTGCCTCTGCTGTGACCAAATGCTTCACCCTCTGTGGCTGTAGATATATCTGTGTTCCCAAGGGGAAGGGTTGTGGGCCTGAACACCACAGAGAGAGCTGCTGGGGGCAGCTAACCCCGAGCTGTGATGGACCATCCTTGTGGTGGGAGCAGGGGGCGTGTGGCGGGGCTGGGAGCTGACAGGCAGAGGTCTGGCGTCTCAGCGTGGTGAGCAGGGAAGAGGTACCTGGGATGAGTGTGCTAACTGGTAGCCTCGCTGAGGAAGTCACGGGCTCTGCCACATGCTGCTTTGGGAGAAAAGCCACTGAACAGTAACTCATCCCTGGCTGCTGACACAATGCAGACCGGCTCCTTGTGATCTGCAGGAAAAAACAAGCCTGCCATATTCAGGCTCCGCTCCCAGGTGAATGAACACGCTGTCTCTGTAAATAAGCCCCTTTCCTGGCCAGGGAGAGCTATTTGTCTTACTGACAGTGGGCAGAGCAGCTGGGAAGTGCCTGTGGAGAGCAGCTGATCTCTGTCAACAATCTGTGGTGTCCTGTCAAAGCTTCTGCACATTCAGCTCAAGTACCACAAGGGAAACCCTAAACATCGTAGGGCCCCTGGGTCAGTCTCTGGCAGGGAGCAGAGACCGCTCAGCCGGGTTGATGTCTCTGTCATCTGGGGCTGGATTCCGCTCTTGGTGACCATTTTCAGAAGCAGGTACAGCCTGCAAGTAACCAGCCCAAAGGAAGCAGAGAGAAAGGTTCCCCGTTGTGGGCAGTGCTGCAACTGGAGCAGCACGACCTCTAGGATGCAGGATGTAAGATGAGGGCCAGAGAGGATTCTTGCTGTCTGAAATCAGCTCTTTTGCTCTGTAAGGGGTAGGTTTGCTTCCAGTTCTACTGAACAACGCGCGGTGGCCTTGCTCCCTACACAAGGTCCCCTGAATTTGAGGGTCGCTTGCAAGGCAGAATGTGCACACATCATCTGGATTCCCAGGAAGGCTCAGGCATTTCCCATTGTTGCAGGTTCCCACGTTCCCTGCCCATCTCCAGGGTAGAAGCTACTTGGGAGGGTTTGTGGGAGAGATCACGATGTTGTGGGGGTCTAGCTACTGTTGTATTGCTGTGGTCTGTTGTGATTTTTACTTAAAATTTGTTGACTTGTTGGCCTTTCTCAGTTATTTTTAGTGGAGGAAGAAGCCCAACTCTAGAGTTTTGGAAGTCTGGATTAAAGTAAAAGATCCCAGGGGATCGAACTGACTCTTCCCATGACACTCGCATCTTTCAGGATGTGTGCTCCGTCGTGGTCTCAGGGCTGTGTCAGATAGCGATGGAGGCCTGTGAATGTTTCCAGTTCATTTTGCAGCCAGATCCTTACATTCCTCGTTATTAGGTCAAAAAGTACATCTCGAGCATGTGCTGGTGATGCCCTTTTCCAGGGGGGATAAACAATTTTTCCTCACCCTAAATAGGAGTTGAAATGACTCCTCTTTTTCGCTGCCAGCTGCTGCTGCAGAAAAATACTGGTATGAGTGAGACAGTACTTGGTGCATCAGTTTGCCTTGCTGGCTCCTTTCCCCTCCGTGTCCATAATAAGCATGGCAGTGGTACAGGGCCAAACTCAGTGTCAGCTGGATTTAGTGGTGTGTTGGATATTGCCAGTTCCCAGTCAGGAGAGAATTGGGACAGATCCAGTAAGAGCGTAACAGTGCTTTGAAGTCTGACAGGCTTTTAATATACAGCTCAGGACCTCTCCTTTTCTGCAGTGGGAGATCATGGCCATGTTTGGGCAGCTGTGTTTTCCTTCCTCGTGGAGACCCCAAGCAATTGGTGATAAAGAGGAGGGTGTCATAAGGGGATGAGCATATCCCTTCCTGCCCTTTCCCCAGAAGAGCATCTTTCAGTTTGAGGAGCAGAAGCTCACAGCAAAAGGCTACAATCACACGTATCCCTGGGAGGTGCTTGCAGGGCGTGGGGGTGAGCTACAGAGCCTAGAGACATCCAGGTACCACCGAACTGCCAAGCACGTTATTGTTTAAGGGACACAGCTTATTGTTTAAGGAAAACAATGGCAGAGCTCCTCAGGAAATGGCCATGCAGGGGCTGGAAAGCAGTGTGTGACCTGAAGTGTCCGGGTTATGAGCCCATAGTGTGACCTAGACCGGTCCTTGCTGCTGTGCGGGGCCCTGGCAGCGCTTCACACAGCAGTGTGCTCCAGGGATAACTCCTCTGCACTGTGCTGTTTATACAGCAGGGGGGTGGTGAGAGTGCAGGCCTGTGTGTGCTGCTGCCTGGAGGTGCAGCCCTGCTTCTGACTGCTTGAAGCAATGATAATTCCAGCGAAAAAGTCCCTTGCGTATTGGAGAGGGTGCTGCGTGCAGGAGGAATGGGATGTGTCTGTAAGGGAGGGCATGGGCTGCAGCCACCCCAGGCTCTGCATGGCTTCCCACAAACAGGTTGTGTACACTTAGCCCTGAACAGGGAGGTCTTGGAAGAGAAGAGCAAACACTTCTCTGGGGTGACAGCAGCTGCTGAGCAATGGGGAGCCACCTTGGCATCCCTTGTGGGGATGGGCTGGGGTGGGGCCTCTTGTTTGCACTGGAAATGACTTGTCCTGGTGAAGCTGAAGGGGAGCCTGTTTCCCATTACTGCCTACCTCTTTAGGGCTGAAGGGGAAAATCGTCTACGTTCTTCAAGCTATCAATAAGTGGAAATAAACACCATGTCTTCCTTTGTTCTGCATTTCCTATGGTAGGAAATGAATAGCCGCATTTTGCAGAGCAGCCGTGGTTCCCCTGCTAAAGAGGGACTAATCAGAAATGCCATTCTTCCCTAAATGGAATAGGGGTGGGTTGTTGCTCTGAGATTTTCATGCCTGAAGGGTAAACATCTCCAGCCAGATCTGCAAAACAGCTCTGCTCACATCTGGCTTTGGAAACAGCTCCCTGTTTCCCCAGGGATTGACTCCCTGGGGAAAACGGAGATCTGCATTCACCTGATCCCCTCCCAGATTCCCCCCGAGGGCTCTGGCACCCTCCACAGGCAGCCTTCTCTGGTTGACTCTTGCACGTGGCTAGCAGAACTCAGTGCTATTTAACTGCTATGAACTTTTGCGTACTAAAATCAGGCTTGGGAAAAGGATGCTGCAAAGCTGGCCAAGCTCCCTGCAGCGTGGCAGAGTGATTGGGACCCCTCTGTCTCCTGGGGAGCTTGTGGGGGTCCTCTCCTCCAAGTCAGCACTTGGTGGCCACGTGGTGAGCAAAGGCAGCAGCAGTTCATGAAGTCCTGCATGGTTCCTAAGGTAGCAGAACACAAATGCTGCCTTACCTCTAGCCTCGGATTTGCCTGAGGAATCTGTTGGCCTTCCACTCCAGGGTTACAGCACTGGTGGATGGGGGAAGAGAAGCCTGCCCAGAGAAGTGGGTATCTTATCCCTGTGAGTGTTTAAGGCCAGGCTGCATGGGGCTTTGAGCATTCTGGTCTACTGAAGGTGTCTCTGCCCATGGCAGGGTGAGGAGGCTGGACTAAGATGCTCTTTAAGGTCCCTTCCAACCCAAACCATTCTGTGATTCTCAGTCTTGCAAGTAGCCGGACTGATGGCCTGAACTGCTGAGCACTGAACAGTTTAAGATCGGATGCAGCTTTGGCGAGAGACGTGCTGTGACATGAGTCCTGCATGCTTTGCTCACAGCAGGTGGCCACCTCACCTCATCCTCAGAACCCATCAGAACTGACTGGCCCCTCTTAAAAGGGCTTGCAGTCACACAGTGCTGAGAAGTGTTTCTGCCTCTTTGCAGGACCCTCCATCGTGACCCCTCCTAAGGACATATGGAACGTGACAGGGGCACAGATCTACCTGAGCTGCGAAGTCATGGGCATTCCGACTCCTGTCCTCATCTGGAACAAGGTAAGGGCCTCGCCAGGACCTTTTGGGGGTCTAGCAAAGCTGAGGTAACTGGAACCGCCTGGTGAGTAACGGGACCAAGTCATAAGAAATCCTTCCCTAGAAACACGCGTCTTCGATGAGTTCTCCCATCTGTGCAGTTCTGTCCAGCCCCAGCCATCTGGCCTCATTTAATCTTTAGTCATTGCTTTTTCTAAACTTTTATTGACCCCAGCACAGAACAGGATTTGTTTTTCCTGGTAGCGCCTGGTATTCCGAGTATGTGGGGAATGTCCCTGAGGCAGCTGGACGCAGTTCCCCCAGCGTCAAGCACTGTGACATGGGGCACGTAATTCCAAGGGCTGGTAGCACCTGGCTTAGGGCAGGAGCTGATCTCGAGCACAGAGGGATCTTAGCCACAGGACTGCAAGCCACTGCATGGCCTCTGCAGCCTCCTCAAATGCCAAACGTTTGTGGACACTTCAGAGAGGTCTTAAAATTAAGCTGAAACAATACTACACTAAAAATACCATAGAGGAAAAAATAGATTGGCCCAAAGATCACTATTCTGAGACAGCACGCCCTGTCTGTAGGGTCCCAGGGGAAACTCTTGAGTTAGCATACGATCTGTCAGCATTTTCTGCTCGTTTACAAACAGATGTTGTATTTACACTGCCAGTGCTGCTTTGCTTTATGGCCAAGGAACTGCTTGTCCTTGTGCTAATAAGGGCTGAGTACAACCTACCCCCTGTGCTGTGCTCTGGGTTCAGATGCCCAGCACTAGAGAATAACTCACTCAGAGAGAGCACTGCTGCTCTCTCATTAATGAAAGAAAAACGCTGCTACTGCACGAGATATATTCATACAAAAACTAGTGTTGACCTTGTCTGGGTGCAGGTATGGTCATAACAAATTCTACCGTAAGTCCCCAAACCCTCAAACCTTTCTGTTTAGATCATTCGGGGACAACATGGTGTCCAGAGAATGGAGCTGCTGCCTGGTGACCGGGAAAACCTGGCAATTCAGACCCGAGGTGGCCCTGAGAAACACGAAGTGACTGGCTGGGTACTGGTAAGTATCTCATGTGCGCCTCCAAGGGAAGCAGTGGGGAAGCCTGAGGGAGCTGCTGTGCCTCCCTGTAATGGAGTTGCATCTATTTGTGAGTATGATGGCTCCCAGCTGCAGGGAAGCTGGGAGACCACAGGTCAGGGGAGTGGCTCCTGCACCACTTGCCAAAGCAGGGGTGGAAACAGGGAGAGGGAACAGTCTGAGCCTGCAATTTTGCAGAAGTAACAGACTGGATGCAGCATGTTCCAGGAAGGATTTGTCTTCCTGTCTCTATTTCCTTGTCAAGCGTGCAGTGCTCTGACACATCTCTGGACTAGGTAAGCACTAAAAGAAAAGGAGCGAGTGTTAGAACACAATCTGGCCTAGCAAAGCCAGAGAAAACTAGGCTGAACCCCAGCAGTGGCTTGTCCCAAACCTGACCGGAGAAAACCACCACCATCTGAACCAAATTATGTAAAGAAGACAGTGTGGTCTGTAGGGGTTAACTGATACTTTATCCATTCTGGTTATCTCATTATATCTCAAGAAATTAACAAGTTGTAATAGATACCTTAAGACAGAAGTACCTCTCCCTTCTTTTCATGCTTTCATACTGATGGATGTTTCTTTCCCTAGATATCTCCTCTGAACAAAGAAGATGAAGGAGAGTATGAGTGTCATGCATCAAACGCCAAAGGAGAGGCAACAGCTTCTGCAAAAATCCATGTTGTGGAAACTCTGAATGACATAGCCCTGAACAAAGGTAGGCAGCGTGGCTGAATATTCAACAGCTCTCCCCTAAAAGTTTACTTAGTTATTTGATACAGAAGGACCACCTCTGTTTTAGTGCTTTCTGGGAAAAAAAAAAAAACACACTAGAAATATCAGATTAACATGCACTAGGTTTGGCAAAACACACTCAGGAAATCTCAGCTGCTAGTTCTCAAGAGATTGTCAAATAACCCCAAGAGCTCTAAGGTACTGGAGACCAAGATGCCATATGAAAAACAGCTTTGGGTTTGTTTTGTTTTGTTTTTTACAAAGCAGCCATCTCTCCTGGGAGCAGGATTGGCATAACCATCACCAAGATACAAGGGAGAGACTTCAAGCACCCCCACGTCCTCTTTTGGACGTAATTCTTAGTTTAAATCCTAGTGGCTTTATCAGGATGACAAAACTGGATCCTTGTATCTCTGAATAGCTGAAAGACTTCAGGATAATAATAACAGCATCTGGCACTGAGATAACAGCATAAAATGAATCCCAGAATAAGTCTCGGCATAGAAACCTTTAGCACAGAGACTAGCTAAAAGCCTCTCTTTTCAAACATCATTCTTATGAATGAGAATGAAATTGAGTTTTAGCAAGTTAAACCATGAGCAGCAACACTTGTACAACAGTCATAGCCAATACAAGGGTCCTGCTTAAGAAACTGACTTTCCTTTTATGACAAGGTCGCTCATCTAGTAGAAGGGAAAACAGTTAATGTAATCCTTTTGGCTTTCAGTAAAGCTTTAATACTGTTTCTCACAGCATCCTTCTGGACAAAATGTCCAGCATCCACCTGCCCCTAGTACAATGGGTGAACAGCCAGCATACAAGGCAGGCTCAAAGGGTTACAGTTAAGTTGGGTTACATCAGGCTGGCAGCTAGTCACTAGAAGGGTTCCCAGGGCTCCATTTTAGGATCAGTTATCTCTGATGTTTCATAAATAACTTAAATGTAGGACTTGAAGGATTACTGAATACGTTAGCAGGCGTCACTAAATTGGGAGGAGCTGCTGACTCAGTCAAGGTTAAAGGGGCCTTGCAGAGAGCCCTGTTAGAGAGCTGGGCACTGGAACGGGCTTCCCAAGGAAGCGGTCACAGCACCAACCAAGCCTGATGGATTTCAAGAAGCATTTGGACAACACTCTCAAACATATGATTTAATCTTTGTGTGGTCCTGTGTAGAGTCAGGAGTTCTAATTCTATGCATACATCCTACAGCTGTTTCTTTTCAGCTATAGCAAAGATCTCAAGTATGCATGCTGTAGCTGAGCCGTAACTTACGGTGGATTGCCAGCTTAAGAGGAAGTTGGGAATAGTAACAGAGCACGCTGTCAGATATCACAGGCTTCTGCCTAGCTTCACTCTACGTGCTTAGGGAGTTTCCAGGTGATGTCAGCACTGAAAAACGCTATCTATTAGCACCCCCCTTCCAGCTGGAGTCCTGCAGTAGGGAGGGAAGGAAAGAAGGTCAGAACAGACTTATAAGGTCTCACGTTCAGCTAAAACATCAGAAAACTCGCTTCCTGTGCTACTGCCGAAGCTGTGGCATTACGCCTTGACACAGGGTGCAGCATAACATGTTTTTGTTTTTCCACAGATGATGGTGCAGAGCTGTGATGTGAGGACTTCCACTTATGCACAGTTTTAAGTCAGTATTTTGGAAGCCGCAACTTCTGGCTTTTTCTAGCTCACTAATCATTCTCTTACTTCCTTTATTCTTTGATTACCAATTTGCTTGCACACTACTTTTGCAGATATACAAATAAAGAGATTCACGAGTTTGATTACAAAGTTTAATTCTATTTACAGGAAATAAACATATTTTTTGAACAGCACGTAGCAGATGAGTAAAACTATTTTAAATGCAACCTAAAACCAAATGAAATGAAACCTAAACATTTCAGTCTCACATTTTTGGAAAAAAATAACAAACCATTTTAAAGGCTAAACACTCATCATACGAGGCGCAATACTCATAGACATCAGTTCTTGGAAGAGGAGTTTGCAGGCATAGGGCATTCGAACCAAAGATATCTGGGGAAAAATTTAAAAAGACTGGTGATGAGCACTTTAAATTATCAGCTTCAGATAAGTACGCAAATAACTTGTCACCTTTTTAGCTCAAAGCTGAATCTGAAAGCATTTAACAAGAATTGCTTAAAGACAGTAACAAAGCAAGAGGGAAGCTAAGACAAGGGGTAGAGGCTACAAAATAACTATGCAGAACTCATTTTTAGATACAAGAACTGCAGCCAAGGGATGGGTTCTAAGAAACAAAAGCCATTTAACAAGGCAACATGCTTAGCAAAGCATGCATGTTGTGCAGTAACTACAGTTAAGATTGCAGCACACATCTCTTCAGTAACCCCAATGTCATGGTTAGAGGTGCAGCAAAGTCCCAGCACACCACCAAGTCTAGTTAAGTCAACTATTTTTAATCTCTGCTGTCACTCTGCCTTGACGTACCTCTGTAACCAACCACACACTATCACTGTAAATAATACTTTTTTTAAAATGCGATGCAAAACAACTCCCATAGGAAGAGCCCTGCTCACAGGCATAAAATAGCTTCATGGGAACAAAAAAAATCACAAGAGTGACACCATAAATTCGTGCACTCCTGAGATTTACTGCCTATTCTAAAAATAAGCTCTCCAACTGTTTACTCTTAAGAACTCTGCACTAAAAATATTTGAACAGCATTTCCTGCCAAGGGAGAAGCCAGCGCTATAACATGAATAAGGAAAGATCCAAATAAATCAACTAGGACACTATGAACACTTTAAGTATTTAGGAAACTTAAACAGCAATTGTTCTGGTGTTTCTTAAAACATCTACATTTAAACATATCTTCCTGTTCACCTGGTAGCATTTCCTTTATCCTGATTAAGCCCACACCTACCTGTGTTTTATTGCGGCATCCCCGGCATTCATAGGTGTGAGTCCTGGTGTTTGCGATTGCCATAATCCCACAGAGGTTGCATACGTGGACTTGATACGGGTCTGAAGCTTCAAACAATCTCTCTCTCAAGAACTGGGCTGCTCCATGAGCGATTTGGCAATCTCGTTCCATTTCTCCAAAACGAAGGCCACCGTCACTGGAGACAAGAGAAAAAGATAAAAGAACTTGAGTTCGTTGGCAAAATACATCGGTTGCTAGAAAATGTAACTTGACAGAAATAAACAGTAATATTCCAAGGTACAAGTAAATCTGTGCATTAGTTTTCTTTTATCTCAGAAAAGTTCTCTCTGTTCAAATGTGAACTGGCCACAGTTCCTGCCAGATGAACTCCTCTAGTGTGGGCGTCTCTCCACAGAAAAATGAGTTAATTAGGCAGCTAATTTTTAAGGCTAAAGACTTGGGGGAAAAACCAAAACACTATATAGAAAATAAACATCCTTACCGAGATCTGCCCTCCATGGGCTGTCTGTTAAGTATCTGGATTGGCCCTCTTGCACGAGAATGGATTTTGTCATCCACCATGTGCTTCAACCGCTGATAATATGTAGGACCAATAAAGATCTGTGATGTGATTTTTCGACCAGTGAAGCCATTGTAGAGGACCTGAAGTAGTTAATGCAATCACTGAATCATAAGCCTTACCATCCAAACATACATTAACAAGTTACTATGAAATCATAATTTGATTATACCTCATTTCCTCTTAGATGGTAACCATAATCTGATAAAAGATTGGAAATCTTCTGCACGTTGACAGCATCATTAAATGGTGTAGCATCACCAATTTCTCCCTTGTTTGCCGACACCTACAGGGAAGAGATATACAAAAACTTGTAAGATTTCTCAAAAACTGATCAAACAACACGTTTCAAACAATTTTAGCTATTAATGCCAGAACTTGAAATTCAACACCCATGATAGCACTGTATCCTGCTTTGTTTATCAGCTGCAAAATTCTATAGCTGAGATTTTCAAAAATATACAGTATCAATAACATCATTACTCCTTTTTCTAGGTTACAGGAAACATTTGTAATAAAAGCAACAGATTAATATACACATTTAACTTGATACATAACATTTACGAGATTGTAGGTCCTCCAAGAAACTCGCATGTGCTATTACATAAATGAAGAACTTCTATTTTAAAAAAAAAAAAAAAAAAAAAAAAAAAAGAAACTGCATTAATAATTACCAGGCAGTAGCATCTTTAAAATATATTTTTATATATATGTATCGAGAGAGAATATTTTTTTTATAAAATATATATAGAATATATATATATATAAAATATAATCTCTCTCTCTCTATATATATAATATATATAATATATTTTATGTATATTGTAATATATACTATATTATATATAGTATATTATATACATTATATTATATGTATATTATATTACAATATATATTATATATATATATATAATATATATTATATATATTTTTATATATTATATATATTAATATATATTAAATATATAATGTATAGAATATTATATATATTATATATATAATGTATATATAATATACATAATTATATATAATATATATAATATGGTTATCTCTCTCTCTCTCTATATATATATAATTATATATATAATTATAAATAATATATATAATATGGTTATCTCTCTCTCTCTCTCTCTCTCTATATATATAGAGAGAGAGAGAGAGAGAGAGAGAGAGATAACCATATTCCTTAAGCATGCAGCATAAAGAATTCTTCTTACCTTCCCCTGAAGACATTCAATCAAGTGACCAATGGTCATCCGGGAAGGGATGGCATGTGGATTGATAATTATATCAGGTGTGATGCCTTCGCAAGTGAAGGGCATATCCTACAGCAGAGAAACAGACAGTCAGTACTTCCCAAAATATCAGCTTTAAGAAAAGCAGTCCATAGATTCAAATTAAATCCTTTTAAGGCATTTCAAGGGCCCTGAAGTACTATGTAAGGAAGAGTTGTGTCCCGTTCTAAATAGTCTAGCTAAACTTAAGTCTATATATTGCACCCTAGTACATATTCTACAGATGACTCACAGCAGTTACAATATTAAAAAGATCAAAGCTGAAATATTAAGGAGGAAAAAAAGAAAAATGAAATCACTACCTCTTGCCGGTACTGGATACCACAGGTTCCTTTCTGACCATGCCTGCTGGCAAATTTATCTCCTATTTGTGGGATTCTTACAGAACGTACCTTAAAGCCACAAGAAGACATTAATTGGTAAATTAGGCACAGAACAAAAATGATTAGGTAGAAAACACATACATGTTGGTGCTCACCCTAATCTTGCAGAACTTGTATCCTTCCTGGTTCAGTGTTACCATGACCTGATCTACAATACCAGTCTCACTAGTTCGCAGAAAAGTGCTACAGTCTCTCTTTGTGAAACGTCTGTTAGTGCTTTCCAGTTCATCTTCGTTTTCTGGTAGCGTTACTGTTTTGCCAATGATGACATCATCTCCAGACACACGTACTCCAGGTGCTATTAAGCCATCATCATCGAGTTTGTCATAGATGGCATGTCTCATACCTTGGGGGGAAGGAAAAAACAAAGATCTCCACGTGTTGTAACATATTGACTTTGATGTTTTATAGAAATTCAACCAGCCTGCTGCCAAAAAATGTCTAAAGCTGATGCATTTTGCTATTAACACAGATATTTTGGCTACTTTACATGTCCCAAAATAAAGACTGAATCAGTTCAACAACAACCTTCCCACAAATGCTTAACAAACTCTCTCTCAATATACTTTTGTATCTTACCTTGGCAAGTCTCACGTGTAGGCTTCTCAAAAACTTCCTCTTGGTCATATCCTTTTTTGGACTCCTGCTCTTTGTAGGACCGATAAAACACAGATCTGAAACAAAGTCATAAAGCCTTCTCTGTGAAACAGTGTAATTTTACTTCATGTGTACATCTCAATTTCATTAAAACCACCACTTTAACACATATTGTGGCTACTGTTACTAATGACAACAAAAACAAATTCACAAGCCAAACAACTTTAAAGTCTGGTTAATCTAACTGTCACTAAGGAACGGGGAAAAAAAAAAAAAAAAAAGAAAAAAAAAGTTTCATATTAGCATCTTAGCAGTCACTTTTTGGACATTTCCAAAATACCTATTGATAACATGCTTATTTTCGATGAACTATGGAGACCGTCCAATCTGCCTGACATCTCAAAAGCAGTTACTATTCTTGAGGACAATTCATGTCTTCATCATATCAATCTCATATGACTTTTTTTCCTTAATTCTGCCATTTTGAAAGCACTTCTACTTCTGATACCTTATGAGCTCTTTCTGGGCCTTTGAGGATTTCTGTTTGCTGCCTTATTTGCTAGCATACCAAAACTACAACCTTTAAGATAAATATTGTTCACATGTAATAGCTCCCATGAACACAGAAGGTTCTATAAAACTTTCATATAAGCCTTAAAAACGTAATATAGTCCCATACATATTCTACGTTAGAAGGTAGCAGATGCAAGACAGCAGGCACACACTTCTTAGGTGCAACTCAGACCAAATATAATGAACAAAGCCAGAAACCAATTGACCAGTCAAGGTTATACAGCCACCTAAGCAAGAGCAATAATGCACAGACAGATCAGTTGCAAGTTGTCTCAACAGCAGTTCCTGCTAAGGAGAAGAACACGCCAATCCTCACCGGTTAGTAACTGCCATGCTACTAAATATTTTATTACAGTGCTGCAATATTGACATTAAAGAATTCTTATCATTGGCAAATCATGCAGAGACTCGGAATATCATTTAATTTAACCACCATAAAAAGAGCAATTAACATAGTAACTAAGACCACTCTGCCTTTCTGGCAAGTTACACAAAGAATTAACTCACTGAGGTTTGCCAAGATACACATTCACCGTTTTTGTTCTGCTGCCTTTTAAGGATACCTTCCAGTTTAAGAGGAACTTTTCTTGAGGCTCTGGACAACTCAGTACACTACTTATTTTCAAACAGTTCAAAAACTTAAAAAAAAAAAAAATTAAAAAAAAAAAAACACACCTGAAAAAGCCTCTATCAACAGCAGAACGGTTCATGATGACAGAGTCTTCCTGGTTATATCCTGTGTACGATGCAATGGCTACAATTGAATTGATACCTGTAATACATTGAGTGAATACTTTGAGAAGATGAACACATAACAGACAGGCATTACTTACAACTAAAAATGAGCTGATTTCCCTAAATTAAAGCTCTTCTACCCTCTTCTGATATTAAAATATCCACATCCCACGTGTAAAAACCACGCTGTGTCAGTAAATGAGGTTTTGGGTAGAGATTAAATTTTTTTTATCAACTAAAGAGTGACCCCATGCGGAGAACCTATGTAGAAAATGCACCACTTCCAGTTAGATTTTAAACAGGCTATATAGAAAAGGAGTTCCAGCTGCAGCACTAGGAATGCTGTGGTTTTTTTTCAGTGTAGGTGTCTAAGTTAACATTTAATCTATCAAACATTTTTAAATTACATAAATATGCTAATTATTTAGATATTTTCCACGTGTTTGTGACAGTTTAGACAAAAAAAAAAATAGTATTTTTGTTTATTAAACATTGACTGACAACATACCTGCTGGTAACTCTCTGAAACGCAAGTACTCCATGGAGCGAGTTGTTACAAGGGGCTTCTGAGGATAATATAGAACGTGTGCCAGTGTATCCATACGAACGTGGAAGTTTGTAATGTAAACTCCCATAGCCTGCTTACCCATAGCAGACTGGTACGTGTTCCTAGGAGACTAGACAGAGAAGGAAATTCCCATATTTATTATGCACATACGCATCTGGGTTTTCTGTTAACCTTAAAAGCAGAATGTCAGAATTGATGCACTGACCTGGTTGTGATCAGGGAAAGGAATGATAGATGCACAGACTCCCAGGATCATTGATGGGTGAATCTCACAGTGTGTGTATGTTGAACAGTATGCAACGCCTTTTTCTTGCAAATCATCTGGAGTCATTGCCAGCATCACAGTCTCTTCTTCCAGTGTATCAATGTACTCTACCACACCACTGGCCACGAGATCCTGCCAACTGAATAATCAATGTTTGAAATACTCAACTAACACAAAAAATGGATCTCTTCAGCAGTAACAAGAACAAGGACTTCTCTGCCTTATTATTACTACCACTACATAGAAAGTCTCATAAAAAAAATGAATTAAATTGCCAGGCAGAGAAAGCGTCTTTGTGCTGCACAAAGCTTTAAACATTTCTCTCTCCCTTCAATCTGAGGGAGCTTGCCAGGATGGAAAATTAGACATTCAGTTGAATTTCAGAAAAATGTCTCACCTGTAATTGTTGTACTCTCGTTCCTTCAGTTGGTCAATATGCCTTTTCTTCAACAGCAACTTCTGTTTTTCCACAATTAAAAGGGGACGGCAAATTCTGCCTGCATCAGTATAGATGCGGATTTCTCGCTCACGAATATCCCTAATCATTGAGACCTGCACAAGAAAGCAGCACATAGAGTAAAAAACCTTAGCCTAGAATCAGAACTACAGCACACAAAATAGGATAGCACAGTTCCCAGAAGCAAAGGCCCTACAGGAGTTGTTACCAGCACAGAACAAACTAACACTCATCCAGACAAAAGCATTTCAAGAGACTATTCTTAACTACTTACAATAAGATAGTTTTTTTCTTCTTGTTCAGAGGAACCAGTTGAAAAATAATATGTGCAGAAACAACTGCAAATTTTGCCATGTGGAGCTAGCAAAGTACTCTCAAAGTATTATCCTCCCTTATCTAAAAAGGTAACCCGAAGTCTAAAAGAAACGGTTATACCTCTGATACAATGATATCCATCTGACGACGGAGCTTCCTTAGTGTATTCATAAGCTGCTCTGGATCTTTGTGTATTCCTACCCAGCAGCCATTAACGAAGATCTTGGTAGCACTAGAAAGAAGGGAGAATAAATAAATAAATAAATAAATAATATCTGCAGGTAATAAAAACTTATATTTGTTTAAACAATTTCTTTTGCACATACTCAGCTATTGCTGCTGGAGATATTTCTTCCAGGTTTTCCATACTCCACTCTTCCAAGAATTCCAAAATCGGAGATGGCTGAGATCCCACAGAAATGTAAGCCATAAGGGCTAAGTTCTTGACAAGTCCTACTGCATGACCCTAGTGAAAACATACAAATTATTTTGCATTTCCAAACCAAGAGACTCCCCTAAGCAGACTGGAGAACTTGAAGTTCCAAGTCCTCAAGGAACTATACACAAAACATACTCTTAAACTCTACCATTCAACTAGAGAACTAGCTATAAAGTTAAATATTCACATCACTGCTTCAAACAAAATACAAGTGATCACTGCAAGCGCTATGGCCATAAAATGACTGTCAGATAAAAGCAGTTAGGTATGGTAAGTAATTTAATTACCTCTGGAGTCTCAGCAGGGCAAACCATTCCCCACAGCGTATTGTGCAACTGTCTGGGCTTTGCCAGTTTACCATCTCTACCAATTGGAGAGTTCAGGCGTCTCAGATGGGACAGCGTAGATGCAAAGGTCAGGCGGTTTAGCACCTGGATGTAGCATGGAACTCAGTTAGTGAAATCTTCCCAAGTGCGTTGTACTGACAGGCATCATAATATATTAGAACAAAGGATCAACAGCATCTAGAAATGATGCATTTGACAAGAACCAAAATTGTACCTGAGATACTCCTGCTCTGGCCTGATGAGCTTTCTTCTGATCACCCCAGTTTCCAGTTGCCAATGAATATTTCAAACCATCTGAAATAATTCTCGTCTTAATGGCCAGTTCCAGGTTGAAATCCTTCCCTCTGTCAATAAACTTTTGTGCATATATTCTCACTTCCTTCAGCAAATTCTTAAACATTCTGTAAAAGATGTCAAGAAACACAATTAAACAGTAATTAAACAGCAATTCAGCCTACCCAGAACTGTCTGGAGAAAGTCATTGGACTCCTTGACAGAAGCAAGTGATCTGTAACTAGGGGAGGAGAGGGAAAAACAAAAACAAATCCCATCAAATTAATCTGGCTGTGAACATGCGTAATACATACTTTAAAACAAGCCAATACTAACCACCCACTATTAGAGGAAACTTACCCCAGTCCGCAAACAAAGCCATAATCAGATTCAGGCTGTGCTGCCCAAGACTGGCTATCAGACTACACAGGACAGTCTGATTTATTTAGAAGCATGGAACTGGCAATGGCTCTTCCATTAATTATCTCCAAAGAACATATTAGATATTTACCCTCTGAACAGGAAAGCTAGCAGTGGCCCAGCAAGATCCAGTCTTTTGTTGCCATAATGATCTCTGTCATCAAGCTCCCTCCTTCCCAGTGCTGCCAGCAACAATCGATGAACCATATACCTAAGAAAATAAGTTTATATCTTAAGCCAACAGCAGACATTCACAACAAATAACACTTAAAGTTATTAGATACATCAGCGAACTGTTTCCTAAAGGCTGCCCATTCTAGATCAAGTTAAAATACTGCTGGATCTAAGACAGGTCTGTTCAAGTATGTATGTCCTTAGAGCTGAATGACACACTAAGTTTAAACAACCAAAACAAAGTTAGTATATACATGGTGATAGCAATGTATCTGCTACATGTCTACCCCAAGCCATAATACAGTCTATGTTTAAGCTAGTGAGACTGTGAACGGGACATGTTATTTGAAGCAAAACAACAGGTCTCCTGATGCTATCGTTTTTATCTGCATACCAGTAAGTGGTGATCAAGAGGATGTACCAATAGCTTTAAACAATTCATTAACATTACATACAGCTTATAAATAGTTGTCACTCTACAACTTACTTATCAACCTCTATATGTTGTCCACGCAATGAGACGTTAAAAGCGCTTGGTCAATATCATCACATCTAACTTTAAATCCAGGGTGTGTTGGAGGCTTGTTTTGTTCCCTCTCTTTTTATTTTTTTTCCATTATTTTATCATCATTTGCATTTTCTCAGCCAGGAAAACCTGCAAGTGCTCTAAAATTTACCACTGAGTATCCAGAACACTGCGATTAAAAAAAAACAACTCCTATTCAGAGTGCTTTCCCAATCATGCACACAGTCTCTGTACCCAGTGACCAGCTGCAGCGTGTGACAGTGCACTTGAGAACACAGTAACATACCCCAGGAAATAGGCCTTCTTGGTTTCACAGAAGTCACTGACACCAACATGCGGAAGCATTTCTTTCTGCAAGACTTCTTTAGCATACTTGATTCTTTTTTCTTTGGTGACGCCTGGCTTCGCACCTCTCGATCCAATGAAGTTCAGAGCCACGTTTTGCTCCTGAATGACAAATGCTTCATCCAGAGAAGGTTTGACCTAACACACAAAATACAGTAAAATCATGAACCATACAGTGCCTGTTTGGGTTGACAAAAACTAAACAGTAGCCTGCTGATGGTTCTTCTCAGGAACTATTAATTACTGCTTTTTGACTTTACTCTAGTAGTTCTTTCAAGAGCAGCAGAAAGCAATGGAGCACACAGAAAGCAAATGAAAAACAGTTTAAACTTCAGAAAGCAGCTCTCATTCAATTACATTCTAGGCCTGCTGCTGATGCGCATATAAATTGAGAATTTACAATTAAAAGTCAGTGGCAGCAGGCTGAGCCTACCTCTCCAAAAATATATTAGCTCTTTTCAATTTCCATTGCAATTCATTCACTTAAAATACTCATTGAAATGGTTTAAATAGACAGCTCTTTGCACTTCTAACAGATAACCCACAAAAATAAAGCAATTACAATAGGAAAGCTAACAAAATACTCAATAAACAAAGACTAACCACAGCGGGACATCATCTAACGTTAAGCAAGAAAATGAGTTATTTAACATATTACCATTTCCATCATTTCCGGATCTTCAAAATCATAAATTATGTGCTCTAAAATATCCCTGTCAGACACAAACCCTAGTGCACGGAAGACGATTATGATGGGCACTTCTTGTTTGATATATGGCAAAGTTGCTACAATGCGCTGACCAATAGCACTCTTCTTTGCACCCTAAAAAGATGGGGGAGAACACACATTAGTCTAAAATGATCTTGCCTTTAAATAAAAAAACTCTCTTTAAACTTAGATGATGTATTATAGATGTATTTACTACAGGAAACCATGACTCCTCAGCAGACTAAGTGAAGATCTATTCGGAAACCTTACTCCAGAATTGACTTCTTTTACGCTTTTTCTAACCTCAGAAGTCTGCAAAAACTTGAATGTTTTTCCTCATACAAAGGAATTTGAATAACACCATTCATTCACCCATCTGCATCATTTCCTCCCTCCTGAGTATTTGCAAAGAACCGTATCTATCTTCGGTTTTCCTTCTGTCAGTTTTAAGTCCAGTTTATAAAAGCTGCACAAATCTCCATTCTCTTGATTACTGAAGCAGCTGCTCCCTCCTCCTCAGAAAGGATCAAACATTGAGCGTTACTGAGGGACAACAACCACTGAAGAATGTCCCAGTTATAAAGCATTAGAGTGGTGTAAAGCTTCTATTAAAGTTGCTCTTAGAATGCTTGGAAATTTCTAACCATTCAGTGCAATGGCAAGCAAGTACCAACACTTTCTGCCTTTGAAATTATGTCACTTACAGCCGCTGCACAGTGCCTGGACTTTGACAAGCGGCAGAATTAGATGTTAAATGTTAGTTAACATACAGTCTGCAAAACTCATCTGAAAAAATAGTTTGGCCCTCAGCATAGACAGGGTTCATATTCTTTTCCTTTGTCAAAAAGCAGGAAGTAGTTTGCTTGGATTTTCTAATAACTCATTTACAGTAATTAATTGTAAGATTATTTTTAACCCCATTTTGCTCTGCCACAAAGCGAGTCTTCATTTCAATCCTCAAATTGTTTATCCCAGAGACAGGCATAATCTGACAACGTTATATGAAAATGAATTGTTTTAAATTCTCACAATGTCAGCAGAAATGTCTTCTTAAAATCGCAGAAGAAAGTGATATTAAGAGACAGGACAGTAACAAAACCCCTAGAACAATCTTCAGTGTAAGCCCTGGGGAAAGGGATTATTAGTGTTTAGGCTTACCTGCCCACCTCTGGCTAGCATGCTAACCCATATAGTACTTGTTGGTCGAGAGGAATTTTCCAGACAAGATCTACACTCTCCTGTGTAGGCATATTTTGAATCTTTCTTTGCAAACACATATACTGTGTTTGTAGCCATTTTTTCTTGAGCGATCAGAACCTGTGTTACAAACAAAAACAATAGTAAGTAACTCACAAAAGGGAATGTGAAAATCACAAGCACAGGGTTTCTACCCTTGCTTCATATGCCTTACTGTTTAAAGCACTCCACAGCATGATTTCAATTTGCTAAACTCAGTTGGATTATATTCTCCATTTTAAAAGCACATTAAGCAAAACACATACTTTGTTCAGATAGAATAACCAAAATAAAAGGCTTGGAGAACACTTTTCTGAGATGCAGCCATATCTGCTAGCTGTGCTAAGACATTTGTGTTAGCTTTAGCCAAAATACTGATAAAAGAAAGAATTTCACTATCTGTTTTCAAGGTCAATGAGCTACCCATGCAAGTAAATTCAAATGCCAGCTCTGATAGTAAAAGCCAGATTTTTTTTTTCCTCCAAGAAGAAAAATAGATTTATTTTGGTGTCTTGCCCAGGCAACAGTTACAAAAAAAAAAAAAAAAAAAAAACAGTTTGGTGAGGCACAAGCATGGAGGGTATATGCTTTGCTAAAGCTGAATCCACAGCAATCGAGGGAAGAAATGAAAGGAATAGGTTTATCCTGTTCTTAAGATGCATCTATACAGCTGTGAACAACCTGGAGGAGAATGCAAGTGAGGAAGCACCTTCCTCACACTGATGATGACATGTAAGAGTGCATGCTGCTCTGCGATGTTGAAAATGAATCTGTAGAAAGAAACATGTCTCAAAGAAAAAGAGAAGGTGGCTCAAAAAGTCCTAGAAAAGGACCAAGTTCATCACAAGCTCATAGTAAGTGCACAAGTACCTGCAGAAACTAGAATGAAAGCGTTTATGTCCCTAGCAAAAGAAATAGAAGTAACAGAACTTCCAGTGCTTATAAAGACAACCGTGCAAGGCATCATCCCTTACCTTTTCTGATCCGTTAATGATAAAGTAGCCACCAGGATCAAGAGGGCATTCATTCAGTTCACAAAGATCACGGTCAGTTAAGCCATTTAACAAACAGTATGTTGATCGTAACATAATAGGAATTTTCCCTATAAAAGTTTTCTGATGCTGCGTCTGTAACTGATCTTCCCCTTCTTTAATAACTGTTTTAGTTATATCCACATACAAGGGGGCTGAATACCTACAGAATAAAAATACCATTGCATTAGCAGTCAGATATTGCTCCGGTCTGTACAGAAGGCTAATGAATGCAGTTATTCAAGCCCTCTTTTGTAATATTAAGCCTCATTACCAAATCATCTTCTGGATTTAACAACTAGGCATTGTAATTTAATAAGAGCAATAAAGAATGTATCTTCAGAATTACTAAACTGAAAAAGATTATCAATTAACAATTGTCAGTCCTTCCTTGTGTTTTCATCAACACAGAGGTCTTTCTTACGTAAGGTTTCTCAGTCTGGCTTCATTGGGCATCATAGGTGATGGCGCTCCGTCTCTTTCCCAATGAGTAGGTTTGGAAAGATAGATTTGTTCAAACTTCAGGAGATAGCGGGGCTGGAAAACAAGAAGACATTTATTTGTAATGGAAAAAACATCCATTTGGGTTATTCAAGAGCAGCCCTATAGCTTAATTCCCAGTGTTGCTGCATGTCCTCAGCTTAAGGTATAGAAATGATCCCTCTTTCGACAGCTAGGTGAACGAAACACTCAAAAACTTCCAATAATTACACATTCTATTCATCATGTCCTACACAGAACCACAGGAACTACCCATTCCCTGACCTAGGTGGCTTAGTCTCCTCTACAGATTAAGTAGATCGTTGCAATAATTGTGTTGTTTTGCTAAAATCTCAGACACACTCCACTAAATCCTTGTCAGTGATGCTTGCTCCCATCCTGAACACCTTCATACAGTTACTGACAAGCCAAACTGCAGCAGCCAACTGTTCTTGGTCATTCTTCAGCTCAACCAACAATTTACCTAGCAGGTGACAGTGATTCTATAAGAGAGGGAAGTGTGATACCACAGATAACAAAACTCTTGCACGTGTTTCTCAGCAGCATACTTGATCATCTAAAAACTCGGGCATGTTCCTTACAGAATCCAAGGAGATCAGACTTCTGTCCTCTTGGCTGCATAAGCAACATCCTAACTTGGACACATTTCAGTCTTTCAGGATGGAGGTTGAATAAAACCCACCTAAGCAAGGGAAAGAGCACTTTGCATTGTAAAAACCCATCACCTCCACCTGGAGCCTCCACTTACTGGTTCTTCCACTTCTCCTGTAGCATGCTGGGCTTCAGCTTGTAAATCAATTGGTGGCGCATCTTCAACAATTCTCTGCACAGACATCTGAATAAACTCATCAAAAGAATCCAACTGTTGCCTGACTAAACCCTTCTCATCAAAATAAGAGCTAAAAAAAAAAAAACAAAGTGCATTAAATAAAATAAGATCTCATTTCATTCATGTACTTTTCTGTCAGCAAGTTTAAGACATACTTATAACAAAACCTTCAAATGCCATGAAATATGGTAAGAAAACACTTATTTCATGAGGCGTGAGTTTCATTCATAGACGGTCTGAAATGTTAAACCTGTTTTCAGTGCTTTAAGACACACTGCAAAGTGGCTGACTTGCTGCCACCTCTTGGCTAAGCCCTATATGCACACCCCACCTTCAATTAGGAAAGGAAACATGGTGACAAACACCAGCAAAGGTGGCTGTAGCCAAAGTTTTCAACAAGGTATGTGAATGTAAGCTCCTAATCAAGGTGACAATTCTCAGAAATGTCCTTAGCTTTGACACCCTCTGTTGAGACACACTGCCATTCCCAGCTTCGCTCCTCCCTGGATCTCCCCCGGCCTTTGTGTCACCTAGATTCAACCCAAAGCATCCTAAGTGTAAGAAACAAAGCCTAAACCCTGGCTTTTAATGAGACGACTTCAACAAATCTGCTGCGTTAGCTCCTACACCTCAAACTCCTGAAGCCATCTGAGCAACCCACACCTGCCAGGATCTGATCTCTCTAGAAAACCAGTGACAAACACCTTTGTACCAGTACCTTCAAGCTTCCCTCAGGAAGGGGGCAGAGCCACGGCTGTTGTGCTGCTGCCAGCCGGCTAGATTTTACCTTTTATCCCCCAAAACCCCACAGAGGCAGGATCAGCATGAAGAACCCAGTCACCTAATGACGATCCAGCACGCCTCCTGCCACAGGTCCGGGGTGATTTCATCGTCGTCCTCATCGTACTGCATATCTGTGGGGAGCACAAACCGCTCAGCGCCTCAGGCCGCGGCGCCATGAGGGGGGGAAAGGGAACCGAGCCCGGGGGAGGAGAGGGGACACCTCGAAGGGGAGAAAGGAGACCCGGGGGGCAGCGAGGAGACCCGGGGGGAGCCCTCAGCGCTCTCACCTTCGTCGGCGTCGTACATGGCGGCGGCTGGGGGGTGCCCGGGCGGGCACAGGGAGCTCGGCGGCTGCTGGAGGAGCGGGGACGGGAGGGGAACGGCGGCGCCTGCGCTCGCTGTGACGGCGAAGGGGCCGGCCCCTGGGCTGGGAGACGCAGGCGCGGCCGCTCAGCCCTTCCCCTTCCTCTTCTTTCCCTTCCCCTGCTCGCCCTGCCCCGCCGCCGCCATGCACCGCCCGTGCTGGGCGCTGCTGGCCCGCCTGGCCCGAGCCCGGCCCTGCTGGGGGGCACCGCGGCGCTGGGCGGCGGTGAGGGGCGAGGAGGAGCAATTCGTCTTCCTCGAGTACGAGCCGCAGCCGGAGCTGGAGGCAGCCAGGGGCGAGCTGAAGGCGGAGGAGCACCCTCGAGGGCCGGCAGCGAGCAGGGAGCGGCGGGCGAGGGTCGTGGCGGCTCCCCCGGGGCGCCCCGAGCCCTCGGTGCCGCCCAGCGGGGTGAGCTGCTCGGGCTGCGGGGCTGAGCTGCAGTGCCGGGACGGAGCGCAGCCGGGCTTCGTGCCCGCAGACAAGTACCACAGGCTGGAGGAGAGCCCAGCGGGGCTGCGGGGAGCCGTGTGCCAGCGCTGCTGGCTGCTGGCCCACCACGGCCGGGCGCTGCGGCTGCAGCTGCCCCCCGAGCAGCACCGCCGGGTTGTGAGCGCTGCCTTGCAACGCCCGGCACGGCACGGCCGGGGGCCGCTGCTCCTCTACCTCCTGGACGTGCTGGAGCTGCCCGACCCGCTGCTGCCACAGCTGCCGGAGCTGCTGAGCCCCCAGGTCCCTGCAGCCGGGGTGCTGGTGGTGGGCACCAAGGTGGACCTGCTGCCCGCGGACTCCCCCGGACACCTGGGGCGGCTGAGGCAGCGGCTGGAGGCTGCCTGTGCCCAAGCCGGGCTGCGGAGAGATGCGCTGGTGGACGTCCGTCTGGTGAGCGCCAAGACAGGCTTCGGCCTCGAGGGGCTGGTCAGCCGGCTGCAGCGCTCCTGGAAGTGCGCCGGGGACGTCTACCTGCTGGGAGCCACCAACTCGGGCAAGTCGACGCTCTTCAACGCCCTGCTGCGCTCCGACTACTGCAAGTCCCGCGCCCCCGACGTCGTCGACAGGGCCACCGTGTCGCCCTGGCCAGGTGAGGGGTTGCTGCTGTCCCCCATGGACAGCATGTCCACGTCTGGTTGTAGTCCTGCTGCCAGACAGGCCTTGTTCTGCAAGCCGGCCTGGGCCTCCACGTGTTTGGCCCTGACAAAAGTCAACCAGCAGCATTGTTTTCTCAACCCAAATTGTGCTGTTGGCCAACTTCCGATCCCTTAATTTCACACAAATTGGCCCTAGGACTGCGCTTTGGTGCTCAGGTGTCTAATTGACCGTCCAAAAATCTACTGGGTAGCTGTTGTGTCTTGGATGACCCATGATCATGCCAACGTTAGCATTATTTTCATTTCTGAGAGTGCACCTGAGGGTAATTGTGGATTGCTGAGACCCCTTTCAACAGGAAAACAGATCTCAACAGAATCGCAGAATATCCCGAGTTGGAAGGGACCCACAAGGATCATGGAGTCCAACCCCTGGCTCCACACAGGTCTACCCAAAATTCAGACCTATGACTAAGAGCACAGTCCCAACGCTCCTTAAACTCCCACAGGCTCGGTGCTGTGACTGCGTCCCTGGGGAGCCTGTTGCAGTGCGCGACAGCCCTCTCAGTGAAGAAGCTCTTCCTGCTGTCCAGCCTGGCCCTCCCCTGTCACAGCCTGACCCCATGCCCTCGGGTCCTGTCACTGGACAGCACTATCAAGCAGGTGGATACCTCGTTTCAGCCACCTGTCTGGGGAGGCTGGTACTTTACGGGAGCACCTGCTGATGCTTAGCTGTACCTTCAACTTTGTGTTAACTGGGTTTCACGCAAAAGTTGTAAAAGTAGTTTTTTATTCTTGTTCCTCAGAGCTTAAATGTGACAGATAGTCATGGGTCCAGATGTGCCTTTTTTTTTCCCCAGGAACAACACTGAACCTATTGAAATTTCCAATTATTAATCCTACGTGTGACAGGATATTCCGAAGGCAGGAGAGGCTGAAAGACGAGGCATTGAAAACAGAAGATCAGCTAAGCAGTGAGGAAAAACGGCACCTTAATCGCCTTAAAAAGCAAGGCTACTTAGTGGGTGAGTATTGTCCAAGTAAAGGTATAGCCCTTCTGTCCTGATGAAAACAGTCACACAGGGGGCTTTTAACCCCTCAATTTGCTGCAGGATGCAGCTGGTTTGGGAAAGTAGTTTCTTCCCACAGGGAAATAACTTGTTTTCATTTAGTTGTGGGAGGAACATTGTATCTGTAGTAAAGTAAATAAATAAATAAATTGTATCCAAGTTATTTTGAGCAGATACTGTTTCCTGAGGAATGGATGCAAAGTCTCCAGCTCTTCCCTTGGTAGCATCAGTAGTATTTCTTTCAAAATTGTGGTAGCTGTTGTAGCTATGGCAGAGGTTTCTTCTGTGCAATGCACCTCCCATCAACAGAGCACTTGCCGACCTGGTTTGGGTAGCTTGGCACTTTACAAAAATATTGCATTCTAGCCTGTGCCTTTCATTCCCAGAGGAAGATGACAAATTCAATTTTTAATTATCATGTTAGGTTGCAGGCCGTAGGGATTGTGTATCAACGTGGTATATATCCTGAAAAGGAGGGTTGCCAGAAACTAGCTCTGACATGAATAATTCTGTGCGAATCAAAGACACAAAAAAGAGAAATCAACCTGATTTACTGGTAAAGGAAACATTGGAGTATCTGTGATCTGCTAATGTTTTGGGGCTTGAGGTCTGCTAGTAAAGAATTATATATTAAGGGATTTATTAGCCTTTTGGCTTTTGAACATGCACATTTCTAGCCACGTAACATCTTTATCACTTTTATATTACTGCTGATAAGCAAGAGAAAGGGCAGATTTCCAACTGAAGGAAATGCAATTAATAAATTAATTGCCAGGAAGTGAAATGAAACCCTTTCATTTTAATCCAGGAAGAGTTGGAAGAACATTTCAACGTCAGAAGTCTAGCCCTCTGATTGAGTTTGACCCTGACATGCTCTCATACAGCATCGATGAAGATCCCAGCCATTCACATAAGAAGCCTAAGGAAAAAGAAGAGTTCACGTACAATGAAGTGAAGGATGCTCGCTGGTGTTTTGACACTCCAGGGATTGTAAAGGAAAACTGTGTAGGTACTCTCTGGTTCTGTGTTTGAGGAGGTCACAGTTTGGGAGGACTGCTCTGCCTCTGTTACACACGTGGGAGAGTTTCTGATGCAGTCCTGGAGTTTGGAGTCAGGAGTTGTTTTGGATGACTGTTAAAATGCGGTTTGTTCTTTACCTGGGGAGCATCTATCATGTTACTGTTGTGTTTCTGAATGGTGCCTGCTGTCATCTGTAGGAACTGCATGACTGTGTCAGCAACGTTCCTGATGAAGGGAAGTAAATGGCACTGTTAAAGCAAGTTTATACCAGCGTTGCTCAGGGAAGCTTGCACTTTTTAGCAAGCCTATTGAAAAAAGTGAACCTTAGGAAGGCTATCAGCGTTATGTGATCAAACTAAATCTTTGAGAAAGACCTGAAACATTCTCCCGATGCCAGCAGGATCTGCAGTGTCCCTGTTTATAGCTCCAATATGTGAGGCCCTCCTCAATGTTTCAATAGAGCAGTGGCACTGAAGCCAGTGCTGATACAGCGTATACGTACAAAAAAGTTGTATTTTGTTTTTCCATTGCTTTGGTATCTGTACAGAGCTGCAGGTCACCTTTTTGGGAATGTTAAAAAGTACAGGGAGATAGGAAAGTTCGGAAGAGAACAAAGTGCAAGAAAAACTGCCTGATATTTCACACTGCATTGCCGTATTACATTTTTGAGTACTTTGTTTTCCATTGAAAATATTTAAAGAAAAAAAGTCCCTCCCCTTGAGAAGGCAAGGTCTTAGCTCAAGCCCACAGATCTTAACCTCATAAATTTCTCCAGCTGTAAGACCTTATTAAGAAGGTATGTCTCCCAAGATCATAAAACCATCAAACTGTAAATTGGATTTAATTTCCCGTGACATTTCCTAGCCTCACACATATAATTAGAGTGCGGTATGGAGCGCTTTTTGTGTTCTGTCAATAAATCACTAGGGAACAATCAACCTTTAAGAGGGCATGCTTTGATGACTTTTCAGACCCCTAAGCAATCATGCCTGCTACAGTGGCGAGCTGGTCTTTACAGCCCACAATCCTAGTCAGAGAAGCTAATGTTGGACAGTGCACCAAACACTTAATCCTATTAGGCTCTGCAGCCCAGATAATTGGAGTCCAGGGACATACCGATTCTGATTTGGTTGACAGATAAGATTAGCCAAGCTACTGTAGGCTATAAGTGTTTACAAATTAAGCGTTTTAAGGTCTTTAACACTACTACTGGTTTTCTAGTAGAAGTTTGTGAGATCATAACCTGCTTTACTGTGGCACTGAACTCTGTGATAGCGAGTTAGCGTCTGCTGTAAAGACAGGGCTCCTGTCCTCTGGCTGGAGGACAACCAAGATGGTCTGTGTGACATTTTGGCAGGGGAAGCTTCCAGTTACAGACAGGTTCGTTTGTCTGATTTCTATTTGGAAGGAGGCAGAAATGGGGAAGGGGCCGTTAGCATATGATTGAATTATGTTTTTGTCCATATTCCTCGGAGGTTTGTTTTTAGCTGCTTCCTCACGCCTCCTTCCAAAGCCAAATTTCTGGAAAGCATAGCAAAGGCTACTGATAACATAAATTGTCATTGAAGCGTTGCCAAATACATCAGAAAGCCTGTAGCTAGTAGGACGGAGGTTTTTGTTTTTCACAATTGGTGTTAAAAGCTGCCTTGGCTTTCAAACTAACGATTGTCTGTGTGTGACCATAGGAAGAACATTAAGTGTTCTGGCTGCACCACAGCCCTTGTTAGTTTGGTCTTTTAATGCTTAAACGAAATTAATCCTTGTGGCCAGACTGCTACAGACTTGTATTTGCATGACTGGCACATCTGGGACAGAGCTAGCAGCATTTCTCCTGTTTCCTGTGTTAGGCATTCTTCACGCTGCCCTACTTGATCTTTTTCCTCTACCAATATTAACCTGTTGCCACTGTTGGGACACCTTCAGTGTCTCATGGCTATGTAATCTATTTTACAGGTTTTGAACCTCCTGACAGATAAAGAAGTAAAGCTGGTTATGCCAGCAAAAGCCGTAATTCCACGGACCTACATTCTCAAGCCAGGAATGGTCTTGTTTTTAGCAGCTTTGGGACGTGTCGACTACTTGCAGGTAGGGGGAAAAAATAGGATTTTTAAGAGCAGCTCCTTCATCTCATGTTATACCAACCAATAAAAGGCTGCTCAGGCAGCTTTCCCAGCCCCTGTCTGAGGTGCCTTTGAGATGACAAAGGTGTTAATAACTCTGAAGAATTTATCCGAGGAAGCAAGGTTTTCAACACGCAGAAAGGAAATGGAGCAAGAGAGCAGCCTGAAGATGCTTTTCTGTTATAAGTGACGTCCTCTTCATTTTATTTCAGGGAGAAAAACCTGCCTGGTTTTCTGTTGTGGCTTCTAACCTGTTGCCAGTCCACATCTCCACCCTGAGTAATGCAGATGCTATCTATGAGAAGCATGCTGGTGAAGAGTTACTGAAGGTGAGAGAAGGAGCTGCTGTCCTGGGCTTTCAGTTGCAGATGGGCAGGTGAAGCTCTGCTCTTTGCAAATGTGAAGTAGCTCATATAGGGATATTCAAGTCAGCTTTTGGATAACAAAGGGCTAATATCCTTATTCCCACTTGTGCATTGCTTGCCAGTTCAAGGTAGCAGTACTGAAGCATCTCTTAGCTGTGAAATCTTCTCTTGTTTTTAGGTTCCCATGGGTGGGAAAGAGCGAATGAAAGAGTTTCCCCCACTCGTCCCCCAGGACATTACACTGAAAGGAGTTGGTACCACTGAGGCAGTTGCAGACATCAAGCTTTCCTCTGCAGGTAATTTAACATTTCCTTATTAGTTTGCTGTACAGGGTCTCTGTCCCTGAAACATTATTGGGAAGTAGCCTAGCAAGGGCTCGAGCCCTGGTTTCTGCTACGGGCAGGACTGTCACTAACACAAAATCAGGACAGCTGTGACTACAGCTGAGGCTCAGCAACCTACAGGAATGGGGACTGACAGCCACGCTTGTGCAGGATGACTGCATTGATGCTCTGGCTGCTACAGAGGTACTGCAGCACCAGGAATGGATGTGACCCTCTCTGCTGTCCTGGTGAGAGGGAAGGGGCCACAGATCAGAAAGTTTTTGATAGTCTCCACCATTCCTCCAAGTTGAGCAGAAAAGAGATATATCTGGGAAGAGTGGGATGTGGCTTTAGATGCTGCCTTCTACTGGAAAAGCTCTGGTATTACCTTTGAGCTTAGTTTCTCAAAGAAATTCCACCTGGGTAGCTGATACAGGAGTGCTGAGCCTGTGTTCTGATACAGGTGACTCTTCTCACTAGCTGCACTTACTTTTCTTGGCTCTGCAGGCTGGGTGGCAGTGACAGCTCACAAGGAAGAGGAACTGCTGCTCCGAGCCTACACTCCCAAGGGCACCGAACTGGTGGTGCGGGAGCCTCCACTTCTACCGTGTATCAGCAGCATCAGAGGGGCCCGGATTGCAGGTACTGCTGCCTACAGGACTAAAAAGCCACCTGCCCTGGTAGAAAATCTGAAAACCATGAAGAACAGCTAGCACTTCTCATCATCTGAGCAAGAGAGAAGACAGAACAGCCTTTGGAGAACCTTGTTGCCTGTTGATATTCAACTGACTGACCTGTGAGTATAAGGAAGCAGCTCCTTCCCTTGTTCCCTCTTGAAATACAGGATGGAACTCAGCTGCCAGCCCTGGGCTGACTTTGCTGCTCAAAGAGTAGGTCTTTTCTTGCAGGTCAGAAACTATTACCTGGTTCTCATGGACTTTATGTTGCTTTCAAAGATGAGGGTGTGGAGAGGAGCAGGGAGTGCTCTGGTGTGGGTATGATACGCTCAGGGACTGACAGTAATTCAATATTACTGACCAAAAATCAGGCCCTCTCAGTCCTTCACCATCTGGGGCAGACTGGGGAGTGCAATGCCCTACTTCTGGGCACAGGAAGAAAGAATTAACAAAAAGCAGGTCTGCGCAGGTGCCTGACAAAAACTTTCACAACTCACAGCTTGGATTTGGTTCTGTAGCTTGTATAAAGATTTCTGAAACTGAGGGTGTATAATAAAAACCTTTTAGAGACTTCTTTGTCTCCTTTGGAAAGTGCTGGCAAAGCACTCTGGTATGGGCATGCGTCCTGCTAACTACACAAAAGCACAAGCAAGATGGTTTGTGTTAGAGGAAAATGTATCGTGCCACAGCTGACAGCCCAAGAGAGATGAGACTGCTGCAGTGAAGTCCTGCCAGGTTCAACCACTGGAGCGGCTGAAGATGTGTTTACAATAGACACATGCATGCAGAGCTGACATACTTGTGTCTGGCCACACAGACTGCAGGCAGACACAATGCTGAGGTGAACGTAGCTCCAGCAGACTCATCCTGCTCCCCTCTGGCTGAGTGGGCCATGTCTCCTGCTGTCCTGTTAGTCCAGCCTGATCCTCACCAGTGATGATGAACTTGCACGCCTTCCTGCAGCCTGTTTGTCACCACAGACAGGTGCTCTGACCTGTGGTCTGCCTCCAGTTCTCCAGGGGGAAATTGTTTGTTTGTGCCTGTTGCTTCTCATCCAGTCACTGGGCATGACTGAAAAGAACCTGGCTCTGTCCTCTTTGCACCCTCTTCAACTATTTATGTGATTCTGTGCCCCCCTTTGTCTTTTTCACTAGCTCCTTCACCAGCTTTGTTGCCCTTCTCTGAATTAATGCTCTGACCTCAGTATCCTCGTAGTGAGGGGCCCAGAACCAAACACAAGGTACGGTTTCACCCACACCAAGTACAGAGGGGGCAATCACTTCCCTGGCCCTGCTGGCCACACTTTTTCTGATAATAGCATGAGCAAAAACAGGAAAATGCCTCACCTGGCAGCAACTCTTCATTTTGTTGGGTTATCAGCCGAGGTCCTCCAGCTGAACTGGAGGTCAGGAGAAGGGTCTGGCTGTGGTCTGTTAAAACCAGCTCGACAAATACAAAGCAGGCACCTCCTGTAACCTTCCTCTGCTGCTGTAAGCCTGGGAAAGACACGAGACAGAAGACGAACACCAAATGCAGAAAGAGTAAACTGGAAGACCTTTCTCTGCTACAGCACAGGTCCTCAGCCCTGAAGCTAGACATGAAGAAACGCAGGTGAGCTGTGTTTGGTGTAGCAGGTGCTAGGGCTGCATCTAAGAGAAAAATCTTGCTGCCAACATGAGGATGTGTAGGGTCATTTGGTGCTTCCTGAGACGTGCACGTGGGGCAGCACGAGGGCTGGAAGTCGTGGGGGTGTTCTGTGCTTTGGCAGAGCCCCTGCTCACCTATCGACTCCACGGACCATGAGAGCAGCAGACAGCTAGCCACAGCCCCAGCTGGGAACAAAAACTGTGTGCTCCTGGCAAATGTTAAACCTCAGTGTGCAAGTTTAATGTGGAAGCAATTAGTGCTTTGATGAAAGCACAGAAATACCTTTAGAAATACCTTTAAGGAGCTCGGAGGGCTGGATTACACTGAAGCTGAGGATCTACTCAGGAACGCTTCTCAAAGGGATAGCTCGTGTCTGTTTTACACCAGTGCCAGACAGCCTGAAAGGCAAGACGATTTTTAACGTGTCTGTGGACAACAACAGCTAATTAAATCTTACCGTGGGAGCCAAAAGCAAATGGAGCTGGAGTCTCTGTGCAAAAATGAGGTGTAAGGACAGGGCTGGGAAGGCTGAACCTTCTGGGAGGGTCTCACCTTCACGGAGCTGGGTGCTTGGTGCAATCACTTAGAAATACTCCAGAAAGTTGAGGAAATCTTCAAAGTGCATTATCAGCAGGGCAGCTCAGTTCTCTGGAGTACTGAAATAAATAAATAAATAGAAATAAAGCAGCCATGTACCACAGCCAGGTACCTCCAACCTAGGAAAAAAAAAAAAACCTGCTGCTTTTCATGGCAGGAGAAGAACAAAATGCCCTCCAAACGTCACCTTGAGGTTTTTGCTCGCTGTTAATGCCCCCAAAATAGCCCGTAACGTGGAAGAGGTGCACTGGGCTGGGAGCCCAATGGCCCAGAAGTTTCAAGCATCTGCTTCCCGATTTTTTATTTACAAGTCACTAATCACGTGAAACTACCTGTAAACTCTCTTCACCAGCAGCTGATTTCACAGACCTCGTAGCCAAACTGCTGGTGCTTGTCCAGCAGCGCCCAGGACAGAGACCAAGGTACCCTGTGGGCACTGACTTGCCCTCTCCATCCCCCTGGTGGCAGAGCTGTGCCTGTGAAGGTGGGCTCACAGCAGCCCGAAACACCAGAGTGCTCTTCACCAGCTGCTCAAGGATAACGAGATGGTGGGAACACCACATTTCAGAGACTGGGTGCCTCGGTGTGGCTGTGGCCAGAAATTTTAATTAGTCTGTGCCTCACGTTCCCAACTGAGCCTCACCGTGCAGCCCTAAATCAAGAAAGGGGAACAGGGGAGACGGGAACCTCAAACCACCAGGGTTACTCTGGACAGCTCTGAGCAGGGCTTGAAATGCTTTTTGGAAAGAATAGCACAGAAAGGGGAGGAAAAAAGTGTAAGCTCTTTATAAAAAACAGGTTCTCCAGCTCAGCCCTCTTTTCAGTTTTGCTCCATGACTGCAGGGCTCAGGCATGCTGAAAAAACAGTGCAAAGAGCAAGGCTGGATTGGGGGCAGGCAGACGTGCTGCGCTGCACGTGTGTTAGACAGGAGCGTGTGCTGTGTTGCAGATCCGTGCTGCAAGTGCTAACTACTTACATATGAAACCAACACAAAGAAACAAAAAAATACCAAGCCAAAATCGTGAGCTTTGTATTTCATCGCGTTCACACGCTGCCTTGGTACCACACAGCCTTGCACTTGTGTGCACAAATTAGCAGCAAGCAGCAAGTTTTCAGCCTAGTGCAAGAAGCTGGGTGAAGGATGACCTGGCTATAGGTATAAGGGAAAATTGTTTCTCACATTGGCAACCTACTTTCTGAGATTTCACCTGATTTTGACTCTTTCTGGAGGGGAAACAGCATGAGCTGGTCATGTAAAGGGCAGGGCCTCCTCTATTGATCCTGTCTGAAATAATTAACTCACACAGCACAGGCAGAGAGGCACAGAAGTACCCCTCCATCTCTGTGTCACACTCTCAGGCCACCTCTCTTGCAGCTCGTAATTAGGATTGGGTACCATGCCTGCTCCCTGTCCTTACACACCCCCCTTATGGTAAACTATACACATTACCTACAAGACCTTAAGAGTTGCAAGCCAAAACGTGCCCCTTACCTGGTCCCAGCTCCTCCATCCGGCACCCTCCAAGGCCATGTCCTGTAGCAGCAGTGCCCCCTGCTCTTTGGTGCTTCAGCGTTACCTGAAACCCAAATTTTCACTGACAGACTAAGACCATCACCCTTGGGGGAATGAGAGAAGTTGCATACAAGAAAACGATCAATCAGCAAACATGAACACTCACCTCCTGTGCTTTGTGGAGCACCCCAAATTGTTCAAAGCTGCAGTAACTGCGTATAAAGCTATCCCCACAATTTAATCAAGCATCACTTGCCTTGGTTCCCATGGCAAAGAAGAAGAGTCCCACGTTAGTACCAGGTCAGCATGGCCAGGCCTTGGAAGACAGGTTAGCATCAGAGCTGCAGGATACATCGGGCTCCACAGCTCTCAAGACGTTTCCAGTATCCCTGAAGACAGGTGACCTCATTTTTTATAAATCTGCTACGAATTCCCCAAATCATCAGAACCACACATCCTCTGGGAACGCAAGAGGAACTGTCACCAGCATTAAACCTGAAATTCAGATCTGCAACTTCCATCAAGTTGTACTTCTCACACAGGCCCAGCATTACGTTTGAACATAGTCTGCATCTCTGACTTCGTGCCTAGCTTTAATTCAAGCGGGGAGATAAATGAATACAACATAATTAAAGGGGAAAAAAGACCTTATTTCTGGAGCCACGGTCCCTTTCTGCAGTCAGGACTGCACATGCATGCACTTGGCAGGTATATCCTAGCTCCCCACATCATTCTGTCCTGATGGCTTAAAGATGCAGTGATGCTTGCATTGCTGCTGCCGTCAGTTAAAAACATCTCTGGTAGCTATTAATTAATAAGTAGTAGATAGAAGCTGCAAGTTCCTTAATAAAGTTTATTTAATCATAACTATGCTTAGGAAAATACACTTGTACGGGTTAATATAATGCAATTTAGTTTAACTTTACACTACATTTTGGACAAAAGACTTATACATGTCTTAAGTAAAAACAGGATGTACGATCTGGCTTGTTTTACATCTAGTAAAAACGTAGAAAAGGCTGTCATGCACTACAGTAGAAAGAGCATGAAAAAAAATTACCTTTGGTTTAATTCAGAGAATACAAGTATTGCACTGTAAAAGCATCAAACATGGTGCAACCAAACATCACAAACACATTTCCGTGCCAGCTTACAAACGTTTGTTAGCTAGTATAATTTTAGAGGGAGGAAGTATATGTACACATAAAATAATTCCATAAGCTATTCGGATTCTGTTAATATTGTACGTATGCCACATATCTACAGAACTGCCATTCAAGAAAACTTGAATTTGGTTAATACTTTTCAGCTACATCTGTTGAATCTAAGTCTGTTGAAATTAATGACGCTACCACATCTTAACTGGCCTGTCAGTTGTCAAACCTTCTTTTTTTCAATTAATGAAGTTTCAGCCTAGACCATCAAAACCCAAAAACATTGGATTATGAGTGCAATCCACTTCTGGATCGTTTCTTAGGGCAGTTACTTTGAGTGTACGGAGGATCCACACAGGCAAAAACCCCACACACTGTGTTGCTCAGCCAAGGACCGGCAGTGCAGAGCTGTCCTGGTGCTACTCCCTGCGGCCATGAATTGAACACTCGTGCAGGTTATCATCATCAAGACAAAAAGAAATTGCTAGTATTGGTCAAACTGACACAGAATAATTTAAGAATATTGAAAGAGACAGAAGTCATTGTTTAAAAAGGAGATACAGCAATGCAAAACCCCCACGTGTGGTAGGTTACCTAATTCATACACTCCACATCAAATATTCATTATTAGACATTTCTAACATTTTAGATACACAACACAGTAAAATCTTTGCTGCTTTAATTAACATACTCCCAAATCTTGGCCTTCACCAAGCAGATAATTCCAACACAGCTACGTACCCAACAGTAGGCATCTCAGGACATTGCTGGTAAGGGTCTAAAGTAGACTTTTCTTCTTAATATTCCAATATTAAGATTATCTTGTGATAAAACACTGCTTAACAGAAGCACCGTTGTCTTCAAAGAGTTCTTGGTAGATCACGCATTAAAACCTTGACCACTTCCCAGAAATGTCCAGAGGAGTATCTCAAAAAAACACACTTTTTTATCTCATAAAGAGAGATTTCAAGTCAGTCTACACCATACTTTCCTTTAAAATTAACAAAAAAAAAAACTATCAGGCCAGTCCACAAGTTTATCTGAACATAGCTGAAGTCCTTGAAGTCTCTCAGAAGATGGCAAATGCCAAAGGGGAGCTATAAAATCTCTACACAGTACTGGAATTCCCAGCATCTGTTCACATTGCTCACAAATGGTGGCAACATTATATATCACTGGGGAAAAAAAAATATCTAAGACTATCACAACTGGTTGTCTAGGAAAACAATTCATCTAGGTTTATTTTCTTAACGTTTAACATAAATATAGTTGCAACGTGATCTTTAGTTGACACTGATTGTCACAGCCAAGGTAAGGATTGAATGCTATCTAAGCAAACAAAATCTCACTATACAACTTATTTCTGCCACGAGGGATGTCCTCCCTCTCAAATCTTTGGCCTCCTTTTATACCGATCTCTCCCAAAAGGAGAAGCAACGTAGCATTGTTGTTCTCTATTCATTCAAGAGGGTTTGTTTGGAGAAGAAGCTGATATAGGGACAGGCAGAGCAAAATGGGGTATAGTCCAGAACATTTTAGGTCATAAAACACACTAATACTGATTGATCTCTCCTCTCCAAACACCTGCCTCCAAATTTGCTTCTTTGGATTTGACAAGAAGCTACCCCCAACTGCTCCAGCTGAAAAGGGAGCTAACGGTGGTGTTCTGCAGCACAGATGAGATGGGAGTGTTTTGTGCTTCCCTGCTTATTTGGATTTTGTTCACATTTTACTACTACAAGCAGCAGGCATGCAATCTCTTGCATGTTTCTGTGCACCAGAAGAGAAATCTGCTTAGAATTAAAAACTCCTGCAGTGATGGTTCTTGCACACAGACCTAAGAGCACAATCTTACATGTTTCTCCCTCTGCATGGAAGCAGGATGGTTTTACTAAACGCAACTTGAATGAATAAGGAGCAGGAATTCCTACAAGTTTTAATACCAGGTTTGTTGCTTACCAGTTATTTTTGTGGGTTTTTTTGTTTGGTTGGTTGGTTTTGGTGAGACATTAGATTTTGATGAACCATACTTATATCAGTGCTACATTTTTATTTTATTTTTTAAGTTCATGAAGTTTGACTGCTGTCCATTGTGGAAATTAAAAAGGAAAAAAACAGATCAGATGGACTTTGCAGAACTTGCAGACATTTCCACTGAGAGCACGCATTGCCCTGTCTGGTGATCCCAAATTAGAAATTAGAATTTTTTCTTCTGGATACGTATTAAAAATACCAGAAGTGGCATTTCTATGGAAAAAAAAAAATAGTGTTTTGAAACTGCATTGGTATCCTTTTGCTCAACAGCTATAAAATTTTAAAGCTAGTCAAAAATATATAGCCAAACAATTCATAATTTCATGCACAAGTAGCAATACCCCACAAAAACAAGAAAAATATGCAGTAAAGAGAATCACAAAAAAAAAAAACTGGCCCATGGTAAGCAACGAATCTGAATGTTTTGAAATAAAAATGGCTACACAAACAAAACCAAACATGCATATATAAAGTGTACACGTACTGCACAAGCGCTATTTCTAAAGGATTAAACTGCATAGGTAAAAACAAAAACAATGTGCAATATTTTAAGCCTTTAAAGCACAAAAAAAAAAAGCAGAAAATTAAAAATAACGAATTTACTTCCCCACAGCGGAGCCAAGTATGTATCATAGTTAATAAGACATTAATCAAGACAGGTTCTCCAATCAAAAGTTGGAAGGACTAACCCCAAATTTTGGCTCACTGTTCACACTTCGGGGATCTGAAATGTACACTCACAATTATAATTATCTCCAACAGTCACGTTCATCGCTAGCCAACTTTGATTTGTTTTTACAAAGTGCTCTTTTATGTAATAGAAGCTATCACCCTGGTAGAAAAAACATTGAGTAGTTTTTACCACTTTGAACGTCCAGAGACATTACGAAGAACTGAAACAAAGGCAGAGGAGAGGGGAAAGAGATGAGTTGGCTGCTAGAACAAAAAGCAACTGTCAGCGGCTCTATAAACATCCAACTTGTGTATGAGTTGCTACAGTCTTGTTCCTAAAATTCTATTTATAAAATAACTGCATAAGCTAACGGACTAGAAGCAGACAGACTTTACGGGACACGGCCTCATACGCCCTACCTGCCTTCTCTAACGAGGAGATCCAACAGTTAATGAGTTCATTACATAAAAAGTCGTCAAAAATATTTTCAACTGAAAAATAAATCCCAACGCAGACTCTAAAGCAACCCATGCTTAAAAAAAAAAAAAAAAAAAAAAAATCTACAGCATCTGTACACGAGCTATATAAGATCTTACAAAAGATACACATACCCCAAAACCACAACTATTTAATTCTACTCCTGCCCTTTTGTCGCCTTCTCGAGATAATATACATTGACCAAGTGGCGATTGAGGTGCTTGCTGTATTCGCCCTCCTTTCTAAACGAGCGGTCACAGAAAATGCACACATAGTTCTCCCTGACCACTGTGCTGTCTGCAGCTCCCTCTGATGCCTTCGGGCTGGCTTCCTCTGGCACAGAGTGAGCGCCGTTCAACCCCGAATCATCGCTTCCTTCCGATATGTTGTCGCTGATGTCGCTGCCTTCGTGGCTGTGGATGCCCTCATCCTCCTCCATTTCCTGAGATTCATTCCCTGCTGCGTTACCCGGAGACGGTAAGGCCAGCGCTACCGTAGGGCTCTGAACGCACCCTTCTGGGGGTGCAGGTGCTGGCACGGCATCTCCCGTGGGCTCTGTCGCCGGCAGGCGTGCCTTAGTCAGGTCCATCGGGTCAGGGTTACTCACAGTTTCTGCCACGCACGTTTCCTCTGGCTCCTTCTCAGGCTCCAGATCTGGTAACGCGTCCATGGGCTCATCCGACGTGTGTTCAGAAGACGCCTCCTGAGGAGATTCTTCAGAGGAAGCGTTCTCCTCCGTATCCACCTTTCTCTCCTCTTTTTCACAGTCGGCGTCTTTGCTCTCCTCTGCTGCAGCAGGCATGCCTTGATCCTTCACCTCACTGTCTGCGTTTGCATCCTGCTCTGCCAGACAAAGCTGTCCAGGCTCTTGTGCAGAACCTCCTTCAGCACTGACGCTCTCACCCTCGTGAGTGTGACCACCACCATCACCTGATGATGCTGGGCCAGCAGGATCTTGCTCCTTCACCTGGTCGCCGCTCAGACCGTCAGGCTTCACACCCCCATCTTCTTCTCTAAGAGGACACTCGTCTGGCATCTCCTCTTCCTCCATCTTCTCCTGATCAGGTCGACTGCTTTTCCTGCTGTGCTTGTTTTTCAGAGCTTTCTTTTTTTTGTTTTTCTTAAGGCAGGAATTTTGCTTTTTAGGCTCCTCCTCCGGTGCCTCATTTTTTTGAGCTTCCTGGTAGTCTTTGGGCTTAGTTTCCACTTTCTTTTTCTTTTTTGTTACTGCTGAGGTGTCATTTGCAGGCTCTTGCTTTGAGGAATTTACTTCTGCCTCTGCCTTTCTTTTGATCTTCTTTGTTTTACATGCTTTCTCAGCATTTTTCTCAGTTTTAATATCCACCTCCTTGTTTTCTGAAGCTGATTTCCGACTTCTGGTTGTCACCTGGCCTGCCGAAACGCTGGTTGCCGGCTTCTTTTCCTTTGCTAAATTCTCTTTTTTCTCCACTTTCACAGTTTTCTCCGCTTTCTTTGCGGCCGACTCCCCCTTCGTTTGCTCCTTCTCCGCCTTGTCGTTAACGCCCTCGGCAAAGTCCGCTTCGCTCTTTTTAGTCCGTAGCTTCACCTTGGAGACATCCATGGTGATGTCTGAACAGTCGGGGTGCCTGGATTTGATGTGGTACTGCAGGTTGCATTTTTTAGACGCCGCGTAGTCACAGACAGGGCAGAGAAACTGGCGCGGGTTGACGTGGAGCTCAACATGCTTTTTGAAATTGCTGCGGTCGGCTGTTTTGTAGTCACAGTGTGGGCAAGTCAGAGGCTTCGGCCCGTTGTGAACCTGCCGCGCATGCCGAGTCACTTCGTGCTGGTTTGAGGCCACGTAGCTGCACTGGTCACATTTGAATGGCTTCTCACCTAAGGAAGGAAGGGCGGAAGGGAACGATGATGATTATTGAGCACGGGGGTGGAAAGGAAACGGCATTGTGCTAATACGGGCACGGAGATACGGAACTCAAAAAGGCAAACAAAATGATCCATGCGCCTTTAAAATTAAACACTACCAACATAGGAAATCCACAAGTCACAAACACATCCACGAGACACCAAAAACGATATACAAAATAAAAAAAAAAAAAGAGAGGAGGGGCAAGGATTGGGAGGAAAGGGATCCACAACCAAACAAGCAGTAACAACGCCACGGGTTCTGGCTATGCATACATACCGGCAGAGATCCCTCTACAGTAATATTAGCAAATGGAATCCATACCCAACTGGTCCATTGAATGCATTGTAGAAAAACGAAATGCAACATTGGATGAATAGCAGTTTCACACAAACGTTTCAAAAAGTCCAACTTTACACAGAGTTAGCGTACTTCATGCTTGCATTGAGAAAAGAAGTAAGGGAAAATAAGCTAGCAAAAACCAACGCCTGTGAGAGAAACACCCTGCTTAGCTGATCTTGGCCTCTGATAGCTCAGTTTGCTGGAGTTTATGTTTCAAACACGACGTGCTGGCTGCGGGCTACTCTTGGCAAGGCAATCCTAGGCATTCTAAAGCCATGGCGTTACTACTGAAACCTGCATTTACATTTCTGGAGTTACTCTTGCATAAGTGTTTTCGAAATGTTAGGTTTAGCACACGCTGCTGCAGCCCAACTGGCTTTCCATTTACACATCAAAGCACGCAGGAAAAACACTTTCAGCACAATAAATCGATACAAAAATACTCTGAGAATATTTGTACACAGGCAAATTCAGCTGAGGAACTCGGGATGCTCTCAAGCCCTAAACCAGCATCTCAAAACTGACCTGTGGAACTAGTGCATGCCACTTCGAAGGCACACTGAGAAGCCACCCCAGGCCCTTATGTCCATGGTACAATAGTATTTGTGCCATCCCTCCAGCCCGCTGCCCCGACTCATGCTGCTCCTCGGAAGCCCCATGACTCAGGAGACCTGAGCAGCCTGCAATTAACGCGACATCGCCGTGACTGCGCTGTCCATTTGTGTGTCAGCCACACAGACTGCAACAGGTTGTGCTGCCTCCCTGGCAAGGCGGGCTGGTGACACTTGCTGAGGAGCCTAGAACACTTCATTTCTGCCTGCAGCATCTCCTTGTTATTTAACGAAGGATTGGTTTGATCCAGCCCATCTTCTTTCCTTCCTCTCACCTCCTCCTCGACTCCCAGTGACCTTTTCCACGAGCTTAACCTTGAGGTGCTTCACTGGGCATACTCCTGCCAAGGGTGGACCTTATTCACCTACACTTCATACAACAGCTTCACGTTATAGACAGTGAGGACAAGAAGTCCCACTCTCATATGTGCTTCAACAGGCTGTTCCAACCACACAGAGTGCTCAGAAATGTTGGAAGGCCATATCCAACAGGTAACGCACACACTGTACACAGAAAGCTTGTGTCTGGCACCTCAACCACATCCGACGTTCCTGTGCAAGTGGAAGTGACACACTAAGGTGGCCAAGACAGCTACATAAAAGTGCAGCGGACTATAAAGCACTGCACTTCACTGCCTCACACTTGAACATAGTTAAAATCAGCACTGGTTTGCCCTAAAAGTCCAGCTTTTGAACTGCAAGAATCTGGAAGTTGCTCAGAAGTTGCTACAGAAAGGCCGGGGCAAGGGGGCAAGGCAAGAAGGGCAACAGAAGTTATGACAGCTGTTAATAAAAAAAACCCTGAGAGCAATCTCCTATGTGCAATCCCATTCCTGTCAGCACTGCTCATGCCCTCCTTCCCAGACCTTCAACTCAATGACCAAGGGCAAATCCCACTCCTTGTCCCCCTTTGGATTTCAGACTTCTTTGCACAGACAAGGGGAGAAGAGGATGTTCAGGAAATAGTTTCCAGGCTCGGTAAGTTTTGACCAAACCATTTGCAAATTCACTTTTAGCCCAGAGGTTGAGTTAAAAAATTTGTTTGTTTGGCTGGTTTTGGTTTTGTTTCTGAAAGAATTCAATTGAAAAATTCTCTAACCAAAACACTGGCACATCATTTTTAAGCTGGCTATTTTCAATGGGTCCAAACCCCCATCCCACAACACTTAAAAATGCCTTCTGGTGTCAGCTATTGAAATCAAAACAGCTACTGTTCATGAGGCTTTTATTACTGTTTGCCAGGGATGGGAATTCATCTAGGGTTGGTCAATTCAGATTTTAGCAAGCCCAAAGCATCTACCTCAGCTACCCTAAAAGGGTCACTAAGTACACCTGTGCTTGCGTTTCGCAGGACTGTGGAGTAAGAGCTCAGAAAAAAATGCTGCTGTTTTATTCAAAACAAAACAAAAAGATTCACAAGAGAGCAGATGTTTTTAACACCACAGCTTTGCGATCAATGATGGAAAATAAATGCTAGTGAAAATTGCTAATTCTGCCCCATAGTGCCACAAGACTGAATCATCATTTGTAAAAAAAAACTCCTGAGTTTGCTCATTGCCAGAAGCAGGCACTGCTTTGAATCTTTTTGTAATACTAAGCAAAAACTGAGGGTTTCCTCGAAGCTCCTCGATGCGATGAGATAACAAACATCACAGGGGAGCTTCTCAGCTATTCAAACCTCTCCCAGCTTCACTGATTTGAACCGAGGTATTGCAGCAGACAGAGGGCAAGAATTTGTTCCTACATCATTGCAATGTTGTGTTTACTACTAGACTAAGACTACTACAGCAGTCCTATGAACCTCAGAATACATCATGGATAGTGAAGGGAAAGAAAAAAATATATATTCCCCCATTAACACTTGTATGAATGACAGTATTATTTTAGCAGGTAAGGACAGCCTTCTCTGTTAAAACCAGCAGCTAAAGCTCAGGCTATCCTGGACGAGATGAGCGCCTCGTCTCACCCAGAGCCACCCCCTTTTCCTGAGGCATGCTGCTGCCACCGCCACCCCCTTACCAACCTGAGTGGGTGCGCATGTGCCTGGTTAGATGGGTCTTCTGAGAGCTGGAGTAGGGACACATGGCGCATTGATAGGGCCGCTCTCCTGCGAAAACAGAACAGAAGGGAACAAAAACACCAGCGATTAGTTACTGACACGCAGCTGGTTCCCATACTTGGTTCCCAAACCATCCGTGCCAGGCTGTCACAGAACCCCCAGCTGCATTTCAAGACACGTTATCGCTCAGAAAAGGGTCAGGGCGAGAAGCATGTGCCTGAGCTGAGCCAGCAGATGTGTCATGCCTTATGAACGTGGGACTGCAATGACGGGACAGAATATTAGAGTCGGAGAGTAACCTGAGGCAGAAGGGGATCAGGACAGCCACCTTGAGGAAGTCATAAGCCACCAGAGCTGATTTTTCTATAGTGTTTTCCCATCATCAGTCCAAAGACACACAGAAGATACAGACCGTGTAAAAAGCCAGGCACATTTTTGCTTCCTGTAACGCCTTACCTGAAACCTCCACGTTCAGTGTGGATTAAGGGTGGAGAGAAACTGCCCCCACATCTCAGAAAAGCATTTTCCCGAATGCAAGTGCAAGGGGCTGGGACATACCAGCAAACTTTTATTGGCAAAGTGAAATTGGCTGGAACGTGGACAAGCACAATGCCTTGCTCAGCGAAACTGCTAGCAACAGCTCGAGCACAGCAGCAGCACTTTGAAGACTCAAATTCCTCCACCTGCAGTTTTTGTTTCTGGAGAACTGATGGAAACTAGCCTGCCATAAATTAGGCCTCCATGAGAGAGTTAGCTTGTGTAACTAGCAGTACACTTGGAAAATCCTTTTCAAGTGAAGACAAGCCCAAAATAAAGGCCGGCAGATTTAGAAATAACATCCGTTAGGCAGGTCCACGTAAGTCCCAATTTTTTATTTTTATTTTTTTTCCTCAAACTGCCAGCACACTGTAGGCTGCTTTGTCTCCACTACACGTTGTGGAAATGCTTTTTAGTTTAGAGTAGATACGCCTAACAGGGGGCGGCAGTAATGGTGGGAAGGGAAAAGGATATTCTCAGCTGTAACACTACTCAGGGCATAGTCAGCATTACACCGCAGCACTTTGCTACATCAATCAAAGCGTACAGACAACGTCCTCCCCAAACCACTGAGATCCAGACGGGAGCAGAAGCCCTGTACACAGCCCATGCCTTTGCTTTCAGAGCGTAGTTTTACCTGTAGCAGCTGCTAGGATCCGACGTGAGGCTCCACTGCTGGTCTGTGCTGAATCAGCAGTAGGAGCAGTCGTGGTAATGCAGACAAATCCCCCCCCTTCCTTCCTCCCATTAAATCATTTGGATTACCACTCGTTTGTATCAGCAACTTCAACACGAATTCACCCTAACAATCACAGCCTCCTGCACCACACAACCCCGTCCTGCCCCCCCCAGATTTCCAGTTAAGACAAGGTTAAGTCACGTACAAGGGAGGGGTAGGGCTTTTGTCATACAGAAATGGTTGGGGCTTGCAGTGAGCCTTTATGCCAAGCTGCAAGGGTTGTTTTATAAAGTCCTATTCACCAAATGTTATTTTACAAGCTCGCTGTATGCAAACAGGCCACCAAAAAACCCTCTACGAGACACTCAGAGAATAAACCCTGAGCTGGCAAAAGCCAAAGCAGACACTCAACTCTACACAAATGAACAGGCAGAACAACCTCAGTGAACATGTTTGAGATCACCTCCTCACTGAAGCTTTTCTTCCTGTGCTCCTGAAAGCTCTGCTTGAAACAAAATTGCTTCCATCAAACTGCCAGTACAGTGCGGCAAGCAAGAGAGATCTCCTACAGCAAACAAAATAAAAGTACAGCAGCTGGAAGCTAGGCACCGAACACCGGGACTGCCTGAAGAAGGCACCTTTTTTATATAGTAAATGAGTTTTCGTTAAGGTTCCTAGAAATTGTTTCTGGTAAGTAAAATGGAAAAATAAAATAAAATAAAATAAAATAAAATAAAATAAAATAAAATAAAATAAAATAAAATAAAATAAAATAAAATAAAATAAAATAAAATAAAATAAAATAAAATAAAATAAAATGCTGCATTCTGTCTTGCACTTCATACAGTTCCAGGATCAGTAGGAGGAAGTACCTGAGGAGGGTAAATCAAGTCTAAACTTGCTCTAATACATCCAGTGAGCACAAATGACTCTAGGTGGCTCTGTCCCTGACACATGGGGTCCTTTCTACCCCACCAGCAGAGGAAGGGATGGCCTTGAGCTCCTCCAGACACCAGGCTCTTCCAGGGCTAGCTTTCCCAGCAGACAAGCTTATGACCTGCTGCAGGATCCTTAAACCATCCTCTGCCCAAGGTTCCCCCTGCTTGCCAGCAGCCTGTCCCACAGTTTTTAGTTTAGGACAGATTCACACACGCCTGCTTTTCCACAGAGACGCAAGCACGAGGCGAGCAGGTAACACCCACCTGCTTTCCTGAGCTCAGATGCTTCCTCCACCACGCACTGCCCTTGCCTGCAGCCCCCTTCCCCTCTCTGGCATTTGTGTGTGCCCTCGTTAAGCCACTTCAGTTCACTACCCAGCAGAAAACAAACTTGGGGATGAAGAGAGGGATATTTCACTGCCATTTTGGTAAGCTGAATCTATAAAAACTGTTACTGCAAACAATACACAACAAAACTTACAACGTTTACAAAGGAATCCACTTATTTGAAAGATTTTTAATCAGGTGAGAATGGCAGAAAGGCCTGCATGTGCTAGCTTTCAGCTAGCAAAGAGAGTAGCTACCAGAGCGAACCAAAAAGTGCTGAAATCATAAAATCATAATTATTCTTCTTCAGCTTAATTAAAACAATGAAAGGACATGACAAACCAAACCAAAACCAAAAGACTTTTAAAGGAGAAAAAGGGAATTGGACGATATTCTACATAGTTTAACTTGCCTTGTTCTTTTTCCTTCTTTTTTTAATACAGCTCACCAGTCATGAAAAAACAGCAGCACTTGTCTGCTGAAAACTGTCACCTTCAGAGAACCCTGCCTGCAGCTCTGGGAAATTAGGATCGTATTGAATAGTTTCCGTCACTGATTTTCTTTAAGATTGCAGTTCTCAGAGCTTGCAGAGAGTTTCCCAGCTCTACAGTTGCTGCCATCACCCTCTGCTGCCTTCCCCAGCTGCAGTGATAACAAGGTGCTTCCTCAAGCATGCATTCAGGGTTAGTTCCCCTAAAACTCAATGAGGGCTTTCAGAGATCAGAGTGGGAACCTGATGTCACACAAACACGAGCAGGGATGAATTCAAGGTCGAGACATATGTAGAACAGGCACCACAGCATGAGCTCACACTTGGCAATGAATTCCTGGGATGATTTATTTAGGTTTCTCCTACATTTGGTCAGTTTTACCTGGTCTCTTTCCTGTTATCTCCCACAATACATATAAATGAAAACACACTGGAGGACAAAACGTACCATTTTCCTAACACCTCCTAAAATAACCTTTGTTTACTTGTTTGGGAAAAAATATTTAGACAAGACTGATCTCCTCCAAACAACGGCTCACAGCTATTGTTAAGAGTAGTATGTCCTAACATACCAAAAATCAGGAGAGCCCCTGCAGACCCTTTGTCAGAGCAGCCCCTAAGGCACGCTCGTGAACCCAAACTGCTCCCCAGTGCTCCACCACACCTCGGCTCAGGCCCAGCTCCAAGGTCTCAAGCGTGCAGCCCTCCCCTTCCAGGCAGCTGCAGAAAACTAAGCAGAAGCCTCAAAGCCACTCAGTGTCAGCAGTGTGAGATGTAACTTCAAAGAAGCAACTCGACAAGTGTTTTTGTTCACCTCCAGCAAAAGGAACCGGGCCAGGACACCACACCAGAAGCTAGTTAGCAAGGCTGCTCTCCGAAAAACCTGCAAGTAAAGTATGAATGGCCCCTCCCCGCCCACAGAAGGCATCAGGAGGCAAAGCGCTTGTACCTCGCTGCCCTAAGAAGAGGATGTGGCTGCGACATCCCCTCTCAGACCGCAGCCTTTAGTCAGAAAGGAGTCTCAAGTTTGGCTGCACTTCAGCACTTCCCACGTCAGGGGCTGCGGAGGCTCTGTGATACAAAGCAAGGTATTTCCTAATCAGCTGCAGCCCCAGCTCACACAGCTGCACGACTGAAGGCCCTCTGAATCCATTTGGTATAAATCAGAGCTGAAAGGGGCCTCATACTTTTCCTGGAGATTACAAACTGACGTTGGGAGAAGACATGAAAACAAGCCAAAGTCTCACTTGAGGGTTCCATGTAGGCCAACATTAGTATGCATCTACTTTTGGCTACTGCAGTGATGCAGATCTTAGAAAAAAAGTAAGGGCCATTAAGGGAAATTTATTGCCTATGAACACTACTCAACATTTACTATGGCTTTGTAGATAAGAGAGAGCACTTTTGCATGGGTGCATCATCTTTCTTCTACTCACAACTTAGTCAAGTTCCAGCTTGGTCTCAAGCCACAGTTTTCAAAACCACCTATGTGATTTAGGCATCTTTTGTCAACCTGCTTGTTTTGTTCTCACAAAACATCAGGGCCTTGCAGACCCTGGCAATCATCACACGCACACTTTGCCATGCCCTCTTCAAAAAAGTTGCCCACAATTAATAAACAGGATGCTCTTCACCTCCCTGCAGGCTCCTGACATTGAGAGATGTCAGGGCCTTCTTAAAATTGCAGACTGGAGCTCAAACCCAACCCCCATGTCACAGGCTACAGCCTGGTAGCACCAAGTACAACAAGAAAGCCTTACAAGGGTGGAACAAGCTCTGCAAAGAGAAGAATCTTGGTTTGCTTCATCCGTTCAGTTTCACAGTACTTACCAAGCTTACATCAAAAAAAAAAAAAAAGAAGATTAAAGGCTTACCTGTGTGAGTTCTAATATGTTGAATATAGTTGTTTTTCCTGTCTGAAAAGTAGGAGCATTGAGAGCAGGTATACACTTTCCTAGGAAAGTGATTTCTTAGGTGTTTCTTCCAGTGATATTCACTGACAGTAGTATAAGTGCATATGGTACACTTGTAGACTCTCTCGTTTTCTCCGGCTTTGTTGTGGTGCTTCAGGTGAGCCAGATAGTGATCGTATCTGTTAGTGTTATAGCCACAGCGATCACAACGGATTGGGCCCTTGGAGAAATCCACCTCTTCGGTGGTGCAGGAATCGGACTCCTTGACCTGGGCCTGCTTTTCCGCATTTTCTTCCACGAAGAATTTCTTAGCGCTGTGAACCCTGATGTGATGCACAAACTCCTCTTCGGACTCTGCCTCGTACTGGCAAGGCTTACAACGAAACGGCTTGCTCTTGAGGCTCTTACACTTGTCCTCCGTGCTTTCTGGAGTACCCGGTGCCTCCAACGGGGCCTCTTTGTCCGCACTAGGAGCCTCAGGAGCGGGGCAAGCAACCGGCCCTTCGTTTTCCACGCTGGGCACTTCAAGAGGGCTCAGCTCCACATTTTCGGGTGCCTCCCGGTCGCTCTGCTCAGGCTGGGCGTCTTCCATACCCTCCCCATCGCTGTCGGAGAAGTTGCTGTCCCCCACCGTCGTCAGCTCCGCCATCTGCCTCTCCTCCCCGACCAGGTAGTCGCAGCAGTTGCCGTTCACCTCTCCGGTCAGGGCCACGTTGGCCAGCATGATGAGCTGTGGAGCCGCCAGCTCGGCTTTGGACAGCTCGTGAAGATCGTACATGTCTCCGGGCAGCGCCATGCCCAGGTTGGCCCCGCCGGGGAACAGGCTGCTCCCCCCGGCCTGCCCCAGCACCTGCGTGGCCATAGCAGCGCTGCTGTGGGGAAGGAAGAAAAGCAACAGCGGTGAGCACAAAAAAACACAGCAGGGCAAAAAAAAAACACACACAAAGCCACCCTCTGGGGGTGGGGGGGGGCTCCCCCAGCGCCCCCCCTCCCAGCCGAGGAGCCCCCCGGGGGTGCAGCCGGGAGGCGGCCGGGGGGAGCCGTGCCCCGCCGCAGCCCTCCCCCCGTCCTCCTTCCTCCCTCCCTCCCTCTTTCCCTTCCCTTCCTTCCCTCCCCGCTCCCCTCCCTCCCTCCCAGCCAGGCATGCGGCCATTTTCTGCCTGCCCACACAAAGCGGCCCTCCCCGCCGCCGGGGGGTGGAAGGAGGCGAGGAGGAGGAGGAGGAGGAGGAGGAGGAAGAGGGAGGAAGAGGAGGGAGGGGGGGGGGTGGGAGCCTCGCCGTGGAACCGGCACGGAGGCGAGGCGAGGGCTCCGCTTCCTCCTTCCCCCCCCACCCCCAAAAAAAAAAAAAAAAAAAAAAAAAAAAAAGACACAAAACCAGGGCTCGGCTCCGGGGCAAGGTCACCGCGGCCGATCGCCGCCTCCCGGGGCCGCGGGGCGCTGCCCTTCCTCCGCCCAGCCCCGGCGCGGTGCAGGCGGCGGCTCCTTAGCCGTGGTGCTGATCCCCCCCCCCCTCTCCCTCCTCCCTCCCTTCCCTTCATTCCCTTCCTTCCCATTTCCCTTCTCGGCCCGGCCGGGCCCGGCCGCCCCCGCCCCGCCGATCAGCCCTGGACAGCGCCTCTCGGCTCGGCTCGGCTCTGCCCGGCTGCGCTCGCTGCTTTCCCCGGGGCTCCGCCGCACTCACCGGCGGCTCGGGGCCGCGGGGCTGCTCCTGCTCCTGCTCCTGCTCCTCCTGCTCCGGCTCCTGCTGCTGCTGCTGCTGCTGCTGCGGGGCGCGGCGCGGCGCGGGGCCGAGCGGGCGCTGCTGGCGGCGGGAGGCGCATTCCAGCACACAGCGCGCAGCGGCGGCACCGCCCCGCCCCGCCCCAGCACGGCACGGCACGGCTCGGCTCGGCCCGGCCTCCCAGCGGCTCTGGAGGGCTCTTCCCAGCCCTACAGCTCGTCAGGTTCTCACAGAATCACAGAATTTCTAGGTTGGAAGAGACCTCAAGATCATCGAGTCCAACCTCTGACCTAACGCTAACAGTCCCCACTAAACCATATCCCTAAGCTCTACATCTAAACGTCTTTTGAAGACTTCCAGGGATGGTGACTCCACCACCTCCCTGGGCAGCCTGTTCCAGTGGCTCACAACCCTTTCAGTAAATAAATTCTTCCTAACATCCAACCTAAAACTCCCCTGGCACAACTTTAGCCCATTCCCCCTCGTCCTGTCACCAGGCACATGGGAGAACAGGCCAACCCCCACCTCACTACAGCCTCCTTTAATGTACTTATACAGAGCAATAAGGTCACCCCTGAGCCTCCTTTTCTCCAGGCTGAACAAGCCCAGCTCCTTCAGCCGCTCCTCGTAGGACTTGTTCTCCAGGCCCCTCACCAGCTTCGTCGCCCTTCTCTGGACCCGCTCAAGCACCTCGATGTCCTTCTTGTAGCGAGGGGCCCAAAACTGAACACAGTACTCAAGGTGCGGCCTCACCAGAGCCGAGTACAGGGGGACGATCACCTCCCTGCTCCTGCTGGCCACACTGTTTCTGATACAAGCCAGGATGCCGTTGGCCTTCTTGGCCACCTGAGCACACTGCTGGCTCATATTCAGCCGACTGTCCACCATCACTCCCAGGTCCTTCTCTGCCTGGCAGCTCTCCAACCACTCATCTCCCAGCCTGTAGCTCTGCTTGGGGTTATTGTGCCCCAGGTGCAGGACCCGGCACTTGGCCTTGTTGAACTTCATGCAGTTGACCCCAGCCATAACAAGGAGTGTAGGAAGAGCAGCTCGCCCTGGGTGGAATGGTTTAGATTGAACTGATTCATAAATCCCAAATCTTCAAGCAGTAGAGTACTCAACGAGGCTACAAAAACCCTCTTCTTTATCATCTCACCAACCCCTGTGCATGCTTTGCTGCACCACTGCATGTTGTGCATAAAGGGGGCCGAGTTCCCAGCTGGCAGAAACTAGTAGAAACCCCTCAGGAAAAGCCAAAAGCAAATGTCATCTTTCCTAGATACAAAAATCATCAGAGAAGTCAAAATATGCCAGGACTCACCTGAATTACACCAGAAGCATAAAGCTTTGTCAGGCATTTAAATAAAGCATCTAAAGAGCATCCCTGATCCATACCGTTTTACTCTTTATCCCAAGAGGAATTTCAGCCCGGCTGAGCCCAGTCGGTGCTGATGCTCCCAGACCGCCTCACGCTATGCCAAGCTGTGGAAAATTATGAAGCGTCTCCCACTGGTGGCTGAGGGATTTTGCACGCCTCTTGTTTCGTTCGCTGGGTTTTGAAAACTGCTTTTTTTTCTTTTTTTTTTCTTTTTTTTTCTTTTTTTTTCCCTAACCCCTGTCAGTAGATGGTATGATTGAACCAGTCCACTGAGCGCTTTAAAGTAGGGTTGGAAGAGTTCAGCTTCAAAGCAACTGTACAGCGTTTAATTTAATCTCCTCTCAGCAGAATCTGGCAGTGCAACCTGATCCGGGCAGCCAGACATCATCCCCCCCCCTTGTCTCCATCCCTTCCAGGGGCACTTCCAGCAGGCAGAAAGGTCTGCTTGTTCGGCCCTGTTTCACTGAAGTCACGGGGGCTTTGTACAGGTGCTGCGAGTACCAGGCAGCAGGGTCCAGACCACTGCTTGTTAACTCTTTGAGGGAAGACACGACACGTGCTTCTATCTCTTTTCAGAATCCAAGTCCACGGAAGTACGTAAAAATAAAAATTTTTATACAAATAGGTAGGTTTTAGGACTCATACTGAAAGTGTGATGAATACAGTTACAGATGGCGAGAGATAAAACAATTCCCCCTTCTCTAAACAGACACAGAACATGCATTTCCACCCTCCTTGCCCATACACACGCGGCATGCATGCAACACCACACTTCAGTTTAAAGCACGACTGTGTCAGGCATGAGCCAGCTCTCTGGATCTTTTTTTCAGTGTCTGATGACAAGTTGTGAGGAAAATACACAAATAGGATATTTTATCACCCTTCCTATAATTGTTCACTGGCAGTCACAGGCCAACCATGCTTGCAAATCTCCCCAAACGGCCCTAGTTCTGCTTACATATTTCTGGTTCCTAAAGGCAAACTCATCTGAGCATCCCCTGCAACTGCCTGACTGTCATTTTCTTCATCCAGAAGAGGAAGTCTGTAATGCAGTAAATGTTACGGACTTGTGGATGTGATGGCTGATCTAACATCTTAACCGTAGGCCCTTCGTAAACGCATCACACTTGAAACCTCCAAGTGTATTTCTCTTGTTTAACTGCTCCCAGAATAGTTTCTCCTGCTTTTAAGAGGAATGGTTGGGTGACAGGTATCTGATCTCCACTTTAGACAAAGAAATCTGAGCAAACAGGAGGATGGATTTAGAACAAAACTTTGCCCTTCCAAAAGGCATCGATGTGACCGGCTCAGACTACTTGGCTCCCAGAAAACATAGTCCAACTTTTTGTCCAGCTTTCATTAGATACAGCTGTTCTCTACCCCTGTTCCTAGAGAACTTCCCTTTTTTGCCTATACTACTTTGGTCAATGCTCTCCTTATTCCCAGACCAACACAAAAGATTTGTTCCCCAGTGAAAAGCTCCTTTGAGCTCAGAGTATAGCCCCCAAGTCAAGTCCGAGCCATTCACAAGCCCCCTTAACTCTAGTGGCTGCCCCCTCAGATTTATAGATCGAAACTTGAGTTACACGGCTCACTGGCTGCTCCAGCAGTCAAGTGCTGTTAGTTCTCCAGTGCCTTCCAAATCCCCACATGTGCACCCCAAGAAATCTTAGCGGCACACGGAAGTGGCTGCAGCAAGTATTTTGTGGTTGGGATGCTTTCAGGCAGCTTGAATGTAGATAATTCTGCAGTGAATACGTACCCTGGAAGAAATGAGCCACATCAAACATTGTAATGTCTGCAGAAAAATGCAATAGTAAATAAAAACTTCTGCCAAAACAAGAAACTTTAAGATGGATTGTTTCCATTCTGGATGAGCAGGGGAGCAGGGAGCTGGAGCTGGGTTTGTAATAGAAAACATACTTCAATATTAGCATCCATTATGAAAATAAAGGCCCTGCATTTATAACGGGTACAGAATTTACTTGAGGTTCCTACGAGAACTTTGCTTCCTTGTGGATAATTTCAGAACTGGTACTGACACAGGTTCACTCCACAGAAGGGTTTTTTTGCACTGTCTGCTTTGCTTTTTTGTTGTTGTTGTTTTTAATATGACCAGATCCCTTAGGCTTCTCTTAAAACGCCACTATTAATATTATTTTAATAGCATTGTAATGTTCACTTACACAAAGGTCTCTTTATCTTATTAGAAACCAGTCTGACCAGACTTCTCAACCTTTATAATCTGCAAGTACACCAATTTGTCGTAGCTTCACCAGCAGCTTAGCTCCTACTGAACTTCCAACAGTATCTTCAGAGCATGACAAGATACATAAAATCTGCAGTGATGTCTTCTGATAGGACTCTCTTTCGCGGTCAATGGAGAAAAACCACTGCCACGCCATTTGCTTTGCTGTGCTTCGTGTGCTACTCATATCACTTTAAAACAAAAAACTTTAAAACAAAATCCAGCGACTGCCCTTTATGTCTTTTGACTTTCAGGCATCTGAAATAAAATGGCTGTTAAAAGAAAACATGAGAATAAGACAAAGAGGTAGTCACACTTCAGCTCCGTGTACTTTTCAAAGTAGCCTACACCAGCTGTGTAGCCAGCACTGGCAGCCAGGCTCTCCAGCTCGTAGCCACCGTTGTGGAATCTCCTCCCTTGCTCCAGCACGAGGGTTTCTGCATCCATGTGGCAAACAGGATCAGGAAAAGAGAGCATTAAAATTACCATCCCCAAAAGCTCCTCCTTTGCCAGCAGTGTGAGTTTATCCCACCTCAAAGGGCTGGCTGAACATGCCGCTTCAGCTCTTAAGACCTACACGCTCTTATAAAACAAGGCAGCGGCAGTTTGTGTTAAAACTAGTTACAAATTGGTATCCAGACCTTAGCTACTCTTTACTAGCTCTTTCAGAAAAGCCCACAGAAGAGGCAAATTTATTAATTTCAGTGAAGCCATCATGTCATAAGTATGAAATACCACGCTCAGATAAGACAAAGTCTCTTCAGATAAGCCTTTACTGAAAGTCACTTTCCTGCTCACATGGCAACACGTTTCTGTCCAAGCAGTTAGGTTTAAGATATCTATGTATTTTTGCATAGCACTTTTAAAACATCCTTTGGCTACTACAGCAAGCCCGCCACCAGCTGCTGTGGCTGTGACTTGACCAAGCAATAAACCCAGTGTTCAGGCCGCCACTGCCAGATCTAAACCACCACGGGCACTTGACTCAAAACATTGTTTGGGCACAAGTTCCTTCTGCCAAGGCCAATTTATTTCAAGATGCTCTAAAGGGTTAACTTTGTGTCCTCTGATGTAATGCTAGAGAGGGCATCTCCTGTGCACATCACTGGGCCTGGATCAGGTATTCCTTGTCCTCCT